CTAGGGAAGGCTTGAACTCGGGGGGTGGACTTGGGGACCCCTCACACAGACAGTCTCTGTCTCTGTCTCTCTATCTCAGCACTGTGTTCAAATCCAGACTTCATTTGTCGATGTGCCTCTGTCGATGTGTCTGTCTTCCTTGTGGAGGTTATAAGCAAACTGCAAAGTCATTTCATAATCCAGTGAATCAGTGAAGAGTCAGGTTTTAGGATTAGACAAGGTTTAGATCATGGCTTGACCACGTGGTCAAGTTTTTTCCCTACGTTTTGCTTTCCTACGTTGACACTGAAATAATAGCTGTCCTAAACTCAAAGGACTGCTCTGAGGACTCGTATGTGATACTTGTGTGTCAATTACAGTACGTCTTAATTAAAGTGTTACTACAGGAAAAACATGCTATCCAGCACATAAAATGTGTGCAGGAGATATTAGCTGGGTTTTTCAAAGAATGAGTATAGTGTTATGCTTAATAGTTTGGGCTAGATTTCTTGGGTTCAAATTCTGACTGCTTCTTTCTAGGTATTCCACCTTCTGGAGGAAGCTGGATAATCTCTCTGTGCCTCAGTTTCCTTTTCTTGTTTTAAAGTGAAGATAATAATAGCACTTACTTAAGGGATGTGTTGAGTGCATTAAATGTCATTACCTGTGGAAGGGTTTAGAACAGCATCTCCAATTCACATTAGTATTGTTGTTTTTAATGGGTCTAATATGTGACACCCCTCCTCCTAGCCCCCATATTCAAGCTGAGAGAAAAACAGAATCAAAATACTACCTTCATTGCAGGTAGAGGGTTGATTGGAGAATGTGGCTTGACAGTTTCAGCCCAGAGGGCTCTCTGAGATTGCACCCCTGAGTTGAGTTTAACCCCTACATTTAGGCAGCTCTGGGGGTGAGGAGCACCTCCCCCCCAACCCACTTCCAGATGTAGAGAATAGTGCTGTCTGCAGTTGCTGGCTTCCAGAGGGAGCTGGGCCCCTCACATACCTGGGTCCTTTTCCTAGACTGCTGAGTCAGAGAAGGCTATGTCTCTTTCCCTGGGAGCAAGGTGAGCAGGCAGGTGTCCTGGCCCTGTGGGGGACACTCCTCCCAAACCCTTTCTTTCTAGAAAAAATATAAACATGCAAGTAACTTCCTCTGAACCCAACAAATATTCTTTTTCTCATTTGTGTTTTTTTTTCCTCATTATTTTCTTATAGACTTAAGAAATTTGGGGCTCAGGACAGTGGTTTCCTGTGCACATAGCAAGCATCTGAATTGTTATTCAGCCAATGTAGTGTTAGGCCAGAGAGTGTTGGGTACATTCTGTGGTAATCACTGAGACAGAGGGTGATGTGTCATTATAACTCCTTTGGGACTGATAGCGAGGGAAATTTTGCATTATCAATCCTTTAATTAAAGACTGGGAAAGCAGGCATAAAGTCTGGAAACTTCTGTATGCAAAGGGAATTGATTCATGGAGAAACTGTTAATAAAGTATTTCAACAGAGAAAGCCAGCCCTGTTCCTCCTACGAAAATTTCTTCATTGTTGGATAAACTCCAGCTAAAAGAAGATTATAAAATGGAATTTTATTTATAATTTACTTCTGATCATAGTGCCAGCTCTTAGCCAAGCCAACTGCTATAGCAGTTTTCATAACAACTTTGTCTAAACATGATCAGAATTTGAAGTCATAAATTTAGAAAGTGCTCTTCTGGTTTTTGTGGGACAGAGGCTAGGGAGAAACAGGGTGTTGTTGCTTCCACTGCCTCCTTAGAAAGAATCTTTCTTGGCCATTTCCTGATGACCCGTAGTTCACGTTATTCACACATTAAATCCACAAAGCATTTGTTGTACATTTTGTTGATGTTTTTGCGCATTGTGTTAGGTATCAGGGATATAAATGTAAAACAAGTACTCTGTCTAGAGAGGACAAAACAGTGAAATAAGCAGTTGTAATATTTTGTTCTATGGGGCGCAGAAAGACCCTGGAAGATGGGTTAGGGCGGGGCAGGGAGTGGCTGGGGAGAGGGAGGTGGGATGTCATGAGCCGCTAGCAGCCAAGAAGATGTTAGCACGTTCACGCACACCAGTGCTGCTTTTCTTGAGAAAGCTTCTTAAAACTTCCCAGCAATAGAAAAGTTTTTCTATTTTTTTAAAGTTCTAATTGTAAAGTGATCTTTTGGCTGAATTTAAAAAAGAAGCAATCACCACAAGTTGGAGGGCGTCTCTTTGCCCATCCCTTCTGTGTAGTTACCTAAGTTCTCTGAGCTTATAACACGGAGTCATCTATTAGACTGGAACAAAAACATTTGTCTCTTGGGATTATAGAGTCTTGAAGAGAGATAATTTTGTGCGATCCAGTCTTCAGCCTCACCCTCTTCTTTCACTTAGTAAATCTTATTGCATTATTTTCATCTCAAAAAATATACTGCCTCCTGCCCCTCACTTCCTAATGAAAACCCCATCCTTTAGTACAGGTCAGCTGCTCTTATGTAAAGTTTCCCTGAGCATCCCCAGAGCTGGGGGCTCTTTCTCTTTCCAGTCTTTGCCCACTGGCCTCTTTTTGGTGTTGCTGACTGTTACAGCTTTTCCTGTTATACTTGTTTTGAATATAAGTTGCATATATGTGAGCTTGTGTGAAGAAAACTGTCATAAATTAGGATGGTTGATTTATTACAGTAGGGAAGTGGAACAGATTTTGAATGCTCTATTTGTAACTGAAAAGCCCAGGCAGGCTTCATTTCTTGACCGGGTCATTGTTTGGGAAGATGGGAAGAAAGGCCAGTGGTGACATAGTCCCAGGATTTTTATTGCAGGATTCTGTGGTTCAGTGTCATCAGGCAAAACCATCTGTGCTTTAGGATTGCATTCCTTTATTAATTGTCCAGCTTATCCTGCATCTGCCTCCTTTAGACATGACGTTTATGTGATGTGATTTGGTCTTGGTCCCTTTCTTAGTGGCAGCTCCTTCTCTTCATTAGGAACACAAGCATGTAATAACTTGGCCTATTTAGCTTCCTTGCTGTGAGCTCCCAGGTCACTTTTCTCATACTCTTTTTTTTGTAGGAAGTCACCTTTATATTTTTTTAGACTTTTTTTTAGTTCCTTGCTTATATTAAATAGGTTCATTTGCACCCCTCCATAAGCTCCACATCCCAAAGCTCCCCACATCAGTGATTCTCACCCCTGACTTCATTTTGGAATTACTTGAGACCATAAAAATAACCAGAGCCTCCCCAAACTGCTTCATCAGAGATCTCTGGGCAACTGTCTCTATGGCTGAGTGTCAGGCACAGCCAATGCTAAAAACCAAGGTTTTAGGTTTAAACTAAAGGTGGAAATTTGCTCTTAACTGTTTTACATTCATTTTCTACTTAAATTTTATTTTTAAAAAAAAACTGTACCAGGTCATATGTGTTAGCAACGACATGTATATCTTCAAAAGAGAGAGGCATAATTGGGTAGTGACTACTTCTTGGACCTTAAACTTTCTGAGAGTTTGAAAGAGCCTGCTGCTAGCTAGGATCAGGGACAAAGTTGGTAAGGTGGGAATCTGGGTGTGATTTCTAGAAAAATCTAAAACGCTTTGCTGCCTCTGCTTATTAGATCACTTTCTCATAACTAGTAAGGTAACGTGAGGTAGTTATTTTGTCCATTTTGTAGGTGGCAAATTGAGGCTTGGAAGTAAGTAATTGGCCAGGAGCTACCTATCTGGTCATCGGCAGAGCTGGTCATTTGACCTAGGCTCCGATGCACTCTTGGTTTCTCCATGATGCCATATTGGTCTCACCTTGTTTTGATGTGAAAGTAATTGTGGTGGACAAGGGCGATTCCCTAGTGGTTGTGAGAGAATCTTGCTTATTCATTTTGCAAATTCTAGGATTTCATTTTTCCAAGCAGCTCACAGGACTTCTTTAGTTTTTTTTAAGTGTCCTCTCCCCATCACATTGTCTTCTAGAGAAGCAGGGTAAACTTTATTTTAATATTCAGGGTAGGCGTGCATGGGGAATGCATGTTACATATCTACTCTAGGTATGTGGAAATACCAAGAAGAGTCCTTTTTTTAGTGTTGGCTTTCATCAGTAGGCTCTGTTGGGTTGTTATTTCAGGAGAATTAAAAACAAAATAAAACAAAAACCAAAAAAAACGTAAGCCATGGCAACATCTCTCCTGATTTCCCAATGGCTCAAGATAGTACCAAAGAGACAGTTGTCTGTGGTCAGAAAAAAATGTGATCATGGAACAAGATGAAGCAAATTGCTGCCCAGTATCATGTGAAACTTAAAGAATATTGCCCCCGTCTCAGAGGAGGGACAGCTGACAAGCTACTGGTGTAACTGAAATTGGAGAGCAAGGTGGATCAAAACTAGCATATTATTGCAGTAAATTAACACATCCCATTTCAGAAACATTTGATGTCTTTAAATCATTATTACTATAATCTTGCTTACTAGAAACGAGATATTTTCAATGACAATATAAGCCATTGACTTTATTTTTAATTGTAAAAAGTTGTGGCAAGTGGCAGGAATACACTGTGTGAGAAAGATGGATGCACTGTCCAGGATGCTACCCTTTGAATCCATAAGCTAACAGCATTTGCAAATTCCTAGTGGAGCATTAGCCAGCGTGGGTTTTCTGGACAGATCGTCCTCTCACTATTACTTTAGACATTCGGTGTTAAACACGTATGACCCTTTCTGGAACCCTACTTGAGGCTTCTTATGTGGAGCCCAGCTCTCTCTAGAGTGGGAAAGTAGAGCCAATTGATAGGCTATTTAGCCATCTCTCCGCTTGTACAGAAAGTGTCTTAGCAGACACGTGTTGAGATTTGTCAAGCATTTTTGAGAGCTGACTGTGAATTTCAGACAGCAGTATGTATTGCAGGATTTCAGTACCTTGGACACTGGAAATAGAAAAAGGCAGGAAATGCATTCTGTGCAAAGTGATGCACCCTGTGACCATGTAAGTGAAGAGCTCATGCTGACTGTTTGCACTCCTCTTTTTGTGTTTGTGTAGAAGCCGGATGTCTTGACCACGGCAGGTGGTAACCCAGTAGGAGACAAACTTAACATTATGACTGTAGGGCCTCGCGGGCCCCTTCTTGTTCAGGATGTGGTTTTCACCGATGAAATGGCTCACTTCGACCGAGAGCGAATTCCAGAGAGAGTCGTGCATGCTAAAGGAGCAGGTGAGAACATTTTGCTCATCAAAGGATCACTTCACAACATCCTTGTCATATTTATTTCCCAAAATGTAGAAAGACCTTTAATCGAAGTGCCAAATTTCCATTCTTGTTGGGAGAAAGAAAAGAAAGTCACCAATAGGGGCCTTAGTAACGAAATGGTAACCTTTCTTTGGAAGATTGAATATTACATATAAAATAGTCTACTTTAAAAATAGTAACCTTCCATTTCTTCCTTTTTTCAGTTCAGTGAAGAAATAAAGATATAGAAATTCAGATGCAGAAACAGATGCTGTTAACTGCAACTAGATTTAAATGATAACTTTTACTGGATGAAAAACCAAATGAACTGCAAAACTGAGCGTAGTAGGGGCTTTGTGGTGACTTTCTCTCCCTTTTTACCCAAAACTTTGTCTTATTTTTATGATGGAAACAAGAATCGAAGGCAAGAACAGTGTTTAAAGGAAAGTTAAAACCTCAGTGGGAAAAAGAGCTCCTTTGCAAGGAAAGGAAAAAGTTATGGTTTTTCGCTACTTCCCTGAACTTCTAGCTAGGGCTTCCCAGTTTCTTCATGTCTTCTTTTTCCCTGATGAGATTTCTTCCAGACTTTTCTGCATGTACTTTTTTTTTTTTTTTTTTTTTTACCACGACTTGATAAGCTACTCCGTCTATTGTTTGGTTTTCTGTTGTGTCTTTGTTAACTACTGAAACTATTCTTTCCCCCTCTATATTTTCTTTTACTCTACCGCCTGTTCCATTCTTTGTCTTCTAAGCTCTACCTGTACTTCAAGGCCTGCTGGGGTCCTGTGTCCTGGGTCAGCCTTGACCAATGACCATTCCCAGCCTGGCTCATCTCCTCTGCAGTGCCCAGTTGAGCACAAAGCGATTGCTGGGATTTACATTTTACCCTTTTTTGTTTTGTGTCTGGACAGCTTCCCTTCCCCCATCATAGTGGAAATTCTCAGAAGACTGGTTCTAAATTTACCACCAGTTTCTTTTGTTACCTATGGAGGGCCGTGCGATGGTTTCATGGTAAGGATTTCTGTGTCTTTCTAATTAGGGGCCTTTGGCTACTTTGAGGTCACTCACGACATCACCAAGTACTGCAAGGCCAAAGTGTTTGAGCATATTGGAAAGAAGACACCCATTGCAGTTCGATTCTCCACTGTTGGTAAGTTCGTTCATTGTATGACTCAGATGGCTTCATTCAACCTGTCCCTCATTTGGGGCATTTATATCTTAATTTTTAGAAAAACACTAGGAATTAGAAAATAAGCACATTCCCATATTTTAGCAGATTTTACAGTTAAAAACAAAAGTTTTTGGAGACATGTAGCAAGTTCCTTATATTTCTGTTTGTCAAAGTCTTCAGAAATCACCCTTGAGCAGAGGCAATTGCTGCAATGTTATGTGACATTTGGAAAGAGCTTTCCACAAGTGGTTGCTTCAGAGGGAAGTGTGGAATAGAGGTCTTATTCAATAATCATGTAACAGATGTCCTGTATTGAAAATTAAGTTTATTCCAGCCACGGTTAGGTGCCTTACAGACATTGATCTACAGATCACCTTTGCATCTCAGGCTGTAGAGCTAATATTATACCTTGTATACTATAACTCAGCATATCACAGTGCATTCTTAGTTTGGCTTCTGTGTCAGACTTTGTGTGTATTAAAAATATTATGGGACTGTAGCAGATTAAAAATAAACCTATATTTAAACTAATTTTCTTAATGTTAACTTCACAGTTTTGATGTCTGTATCTACAACTGTCATCTTTGTAATTATTCTCTTATTAGTTTGAATGAAATTTTAATTAGCTGCTTAAACATAGTTACATTAAATGGATACTATTTTTAGCTGTTATTATATATGCTCTCATTACCCTCAGTTAATTTTTTTTTGTTGTTGGATGTGTAGGCCAAGTTAGCTGGCAGGTTGTGGAAATGATTAACCAGGCATTTAAATACATACTTTATTTCTAGGAAATGGATTGGAAAAGATGGAGCCCAATGTTTCTTTATGACTTTTGGCTTCTTGGGTATGCAGTACTGTGCCTTATGCTTTGTTTTGCCTTTTGAATCTTCTAGCTGGAGAGTCAGGCTCAGCTGACACAGTTCGTGATCCTCGTGGATTTGCAGTGAAATTTTATACCGAAGAGGGTATCTGGGATCTTGTTGGAAACAATACCCCCATTTTCTTCATCAGGGATGCCCTATTGGTAGGTGATAGAGTATGTGGTGTTCTATAAACATTGTTGGTTTAAATTGATTTGAATCCCTATGAGTTGGCATTTGAAGATAGCCCTTCGGAATAAAAGAAAGAAGAGACTTTGGAGTTGTCAGGATTGCTTTTTTAAATATATTTTTTCTGAACTTAATGTTTCAGAAGATCAAGTAAAATTTCTAGTGGTCTTGAGTATGGCATTTCAAGATTCACTGACTCAAGAGGAATAGTTGAGTTTTCCTTGAGGAACACTGAAGATTAATTAAAAGTCTGCTTTTCCCTAGAAACAAAAGATGCTTTAGCTTATCAAGAAGTATATGTCCATATGTGCATGTCTGTATGCATATGTGTATACACATGTGTGTATTTTTTTCTTCAAAGAGATAATTTAGAGGAGTATATTTTAAAATACTTCAGAATGTCTTACATACTGGTTTTATTTACTGGGTAAATTTCACTTTAAGATTTAGCACTATAAAATTGAAGACTGTATTATTTAGGATTGTAATCCATAAACAAGAGGTAATATATCGTGTAAATTGCCATCATTCTTGTAATCTTAGTTTTTAAATTTCTCTCTCTTTTGTTTCCCGCTTAGTTTCCGTCCTTTATTCATAGCCAAAAGAGAAATCCTCAAACGCACCTGAAGGATCCAGACATGATGTGGGACTTTTGGAGCCTGCGTCCGGAGTCTCTGCATCAGGTGGGGACCCTGTGTCTTCTCACTGAATTGCAGTACATCTGGCTGTTTTATTGGGATTGGCTTCTGATTGTCTTTTAGGGATGCTCCCTCAGATTTCTTGATCATGAAGAGTTTTGTAATGACTGATTTTCTCTTCATTCGTAGGCCTTAAATGGAGATGCTAGATAGCAGTAAACATTATCAGTTGATATTTAGCAATATTGAGAGTTAAAATCTCCAGGCTGAGGTAAAGCTATGTATTAGGGAAACAAGGGAAAAGTAGTATTATTTTCCTATTACAGTAAAATTTGAGTAACACCATAGATTGGTTTTCAGATTTGTTTTGGTTTTCTTCATTGAATTTGGAGTCATGATAATAATGATCTCCATGGCATCCTGCTTTACAATTCTTCTGTTTGTTGTTTTGTATAATGAACTAATAATGCTAACTCTTCTCATAGAGTTGGCTGGTGTGTTCCACATAGTTAAGGGATTTTTTGGAAATGTAGGAATGTCTTTAAAAGCTGAGGTATTAAGGCTGAGATGTTTTAGGTTTTCTGCTTCTGTTTCTTAGGTTTCTTTCTTGTTCAGTGATCGAGGGATTCCAGATGGGCATCGGCACATGAATGGATATGGATCGCATACTTTCAAGCTGGTTAATGGAAGTGGAGAGGCAGTTTATTGCAAGTTCCATTATAAGGTACATGTTGCCTCTGCTCTGGGGCAGAGGGTGCCAGGCTCCTATTTCCCACCTCTTCTTGTTTTTCTTGAAGCACTGAGCAGAGACTAAGCCTTCTCCCACCTTCCCTCTCCCCTGCCTGAGGGTGTACAGTACTGACCTAGTTGACCAGCACTGTGAGTGTTTTGTTGGCCACCACCCCAGTGAAAAAAGCTACTGAATTAGAACTCTGTGTAGTCCTTTTTTGCCCCTTCCTTGGGTGTGGCCAGGAGGTAAGGGTGCATGGCTGCTATCAACAGTTTAATCTTCCTTCAGTTTTAAATATATAATGTTGGAGTTTCCTTGACATTTAAAAGAATCAGGAGAAGCAGGTAAAATTTCTCATTGATAAATTCTTTGTTATCAGATTTGCTCAGCAGAAGTTTTGTAAGAAAGTACAGTCTTTGCTAGCATTGTTCATAATCCTTCAATGAATTGGTGATTATATTTTGATAACTTGGCCACTAAATTTCAGAGTGAGCTTCTTTTTTCATTGTATAGACTGACCAGGGCATCAAAAACCTCTCTGTTGAAGACGCAGCGAGACTTTCCCAGGAAGACCCTGACTATGGCCTTCGAGATCTTTTCAATGCTATCGCCACGGGCAACTACCCCTCCTGGACTTTGTACATCCAAGTCATGACATTTCAACAGGCACAATCCTTCCCATTTAATCCGTTTGATCTCACCAAGGTAAGTCAGCCACAACTACAGAGCTTTCTTTTCTAAGAGTTCACAGTGACAAGTGCTGGTGGCACTTCCAGGTCACTTCTGTGCTTCTGCCCCAGAAGTTCACTGAGCTCTTGTGGGTGTTTCCAGGTAATGCTGTTAGCAGGGAACACAATTCAAAGAACAAATGTTCTTTTGTTCTGGGAAAATGTCAATATTTACCACTTACTGTTGTGCAAGTTTCAAGTAACACATTGACTTGAAGTTCTTAACATGTCTTACTGGGTTCAGTATTATTTTGCTGCTTGATTATATTTGAAAGTTGATATTTCTGTGGGAACCTTTAACACCTTTCACTTGGCTGACTGGTGATTGTGATCATGACACTATTTTCAGATTTGGCCTCACAAGGACTACCCTCTTATCCCGGTTGGCAAATTGGTCTTGAACCGAAATCCAGTTAACTACTTTGCTGAGGTTGAACAGATAGCCTTTGATCCGAGCAACATGCCACCTGGCATTGAGCCCAGTCCTGACAAAATGCTTCAGGTGAGCCCGGGGGATTGAGATGGTCTGTGCACGCATGCGCGCGCACACACACACACACACACACACACACACACACCACACACCAACCAAGGGGACAGTTCGTTGTGATTTTTATATGAAGGATTAACTAAAACTTTTACTTAAATTTTAACCTGGGTGCTTACTTCCTTGTGGGCCATATTGGGCTCTAAGGTCCTTAGGTAGGCATTTCTCGAGATGACCAGTTGTAAGTAAGGTTCCATAAAACAGACCCTACCTATGTGAAGACATGCATATTTAGTCTCTTAACTAAGTAAAAATGATGTAATAGAAATGCTGTCAGTATTTATAGAACAGTGCATGGTTTGTTCAGTTTATAACTCATGGAGAGAATATAATTAATTGGTTTAACATCTTAGTGAGCATAACTCTATCCATTTTCTTTTTGTTGTTGCTGGGTTTTATTTATGTATTTATTTTTGTTTGTTTTTTTGGAGACAAGGTCTCACAGTGTAGTCTAGGCTGGTCTAGAATTCACTTCGTAGCACAGACTGGCCTCAAACTCACAGCAGTCCTCCTGCCTTGGCCTCCTGAGCGCTGAGATTACAGGCATGCACCACCACACTCAGCTTCCTGTATCTGTTTTCTCTTCCATGACGATGCTGGCATTTTTTCCATCTGTGAAAACTAGGGACTTTTTTTTGATACTAGGAACTACACCTAAGGCCTTCCCATTAAGCTATATCCCTAGCCCTTCTTTTATTCTTTGTTTTGAGACAGAGAGTCAATAAGCAGTCCAGACTGAACTTGAACTTTCAGTTCTCCTGCTTCAGCCCCCTGGTGTGCTGGGATTATAGCAGTCACTACTAGACCTACCTGCAAGAACAGTTTTTGTGAATTAAGTTTCTGCTGCCAGTAGTAAAGGTGGTGGATTATTTTAATGATCTTGTCTTGCTAAAATTGCTAGGCATTCACATGTGTTAAGTTACATTCCAGTATACTCTTTCAAGAATACAAAGAGTGAAAATTCTACTTTGCATTAGAAGTCAGTAGGATAATAACTGGCTTAGTAATTATTTGTAAACCGATGTTCTGTGTGTTTGAACTATGAACATAAAACAAAGACTACGATCATACCCGAGATCAGACCACAGTGACTAAAGGTCACTGCTTATATAAGGTCTCCCTGCAGGGCACATATCAGTGACCGTAGAGGACAAGCTAGGATTCCCATGATTTTTTAAAATAACTTTTTTGTGACAGCATTGGAAACATTTGAAGCTTTTACAGAATGCAAGCTTTTCATTTTTCTTTTTGTTTAATTTAACTAATATAGATCAAGCTCCCAGGTGCTGTGACAAAAGATATCAAAGCCTGTTACCCATAATGAAAGGCAGCATGTCATAATGACTCCAGAGTCAAAATTGTGTCTGGGAGGAGGTCTGTGGCAGAGTTGCAGGAACAAGGTAGCATTTGAGATAGGTTTTGAAGAGTTGAGTGATTCTGATTTTTAACCTGTGAGATGAGAGAAGTCCATGGGGACAGGCTTAGTCATTCCCTCCTGATGAGAAGCAGACTGATTGAGTCTCTTCAGGGGAGACCTTAAGTGCCTGGGTGGAAGTTTGTACAGTTCTCCCTTTACTAGGAAAAGAAAATTTTCTTCAGTTTTGAGAAATACGGTCTTGTAGATATCAGAATCATTCTTAGTGATAAATAGAACGGAGCTAGGGGTTGGAAGGAGGCATTCCAACAGATCAGAGTGGGTAAACACAAATGTGTGCTTGGAGACTGGGGAGCAGAAGTAGCTAAGGCGTGGTAACCCTGGCTCCAGATGTCCCCTGATTGATGATAATGAGAAAGCCACACTGTGTGGTTAAAGGGCCAGCAGCGTTCAGCAGATCATGAGATGGTCATAGGCAGATCTGAGGCTGTATAGCCTGGCACTGAGTAAGCAGGAGTGAAAAGTCACCCGAAGCCTTTTCACAAGAATCCAAGTCACCATGGGTCTCAGGGACCACAGTCAGATCGAGGGCAAATGGCAGCACTGAGTCCCACACCTAGCAGAACACTGAAGATTTGAATAGTGAGCCAGGCCCAGGGGCAAGGACCACATACTGGCAAATACTTGGTCTCTACAGCAGAAGCAAGCCAGGGTACCTGTGAGGCATCTCTTGAAACGTGGAGCCCAGAGAAGTGGTGGGTATCTGTAACTCCAGCACTCTGGGAAGCTGATGCAAGAGGATCCTGAGATCAAACTCAGTCTGAGCAACTAAAAATAAGGGCTGGAGACACGTCTCAGTGTGAAGGCCCAGGGTTCAATCCCTAGTATATATAAATATAAAGAATTGTGGGACGAGCCCTAAGGAAGTATGACAAGTAGAAATTAGACATGTGATTCTATTAGTATTAACTTCAGTTTTGAAAATATATATATTATATATCTTAAATTTAGTATAGTAGCTTTATGATTTTTTTGAATGAATTTTTAAAAAGTGGTTGAAAGAACTTTCATAGGTTTCATCAAGTTATTGCTCCTCGCCTACTTTTCCCAAGAACTTTTTAGGGCTTTGAGCTGTGAATTCCATTCCATGGGGCATTTTAGGAGCCACACTGAAGTGGGAAGGACTGTCCCACTCGTGCATCTACTTAGTGACCACCGAGGAGCTGTTTAAGGTATTTAAGTGGGGAGGTACTATAGTCTGAGTGGGGCTTTGGGAGAGTCGGTTGCAGGCAAGTGTAGGTTGTATTGCTGGAGTAGGGGCCGGAAGTGGAAGGCCAGTTAGGAGGGCTCTAAAGCTCTTCCTACTGAGAGCCATTGAGGGCTGTAGCTTGGGTGGTGGCAGTTGTTATGTTAATGAACAGTGTTCTCATTTACCTGTCAACAAGGCCATATTCATCCAAATAGTTACTCAAGCTATCCATATCAACTAGATTTTTATTTTGCCTTGTAGTATTAGGGACATAGGAATATTCTTTAAGATACAAAGCCAATTATAAAGTCAGTGAAAGAAAAATTGCTTACAGAACAGAGCTTTGATAATGAGAATACTTTAACACCTGTATATTCAGATGAATGCAGAGTTAATCATAAAGCTTATAACTAGAAGGAATTTCATGATGTTTTCCATCCTTCCTTGGTTAATAAAGACCATTCAGTAATCTTAGACTTACTACCTTTGGCATCATAGGGCTGTCATTGAGCCAAAGCTTTTTTTGTGTGGCGTTTTGCTCATATCTAGAAACTCCCAGAGCTCAAAGCATATCTGAGAGAATTCAGAAGACTACATGGGAGGCCCTTCTTTGAAGAATTTGCACACCATTGGTTCTGCCCCTCAATGAGACCTTGGAGAGATATGGATTAATTCAAGAGTCTTATTAGATTTTAACAAATTTATGTTACAATTTAATACTCCTTTAGGAATGGGAAATAATAAATATAAGACGGAATATAATCTTGTCATTTAGCAGAATAATAAGCATTGTTATTAGCGTACCTGCGAAGTTTGTGCTTGATCATGGGGCATGGAAGGTTGGTTCCATTCTGAACACAGACTTGGCTCTTTGGAGCGGGGGTAGCCAGGGCTGAGTGACAGTGTACCTTAAATTCTAAAGTGATGGTAACAGCTCATGTCCTGTCTCAGAAGTAACCACCCCAGCCAAATTCTGTTTTGCTTATTACTCCAGGGCCGCCTCTTTGCCTACCCTGATACTCACCGCCACCGCCTGGGCCCCAACTATCTTCAGATACCTGTGAACTGTCCCTACCGTACTCGAGTGGCCAACTACCAGCGCGACGGGCCTATGTGCGTGACTGACAACCAAGGTAGGCCTGAAGACACTGGGCTGTCCTGTGGGGCAGGGGCACAAGAGCAGAGGATGAGGGGCCAGGCCAGAGCTTCCTGGTGGCCCCGCAGTGACAGTGTTTCTGCACAGTGACAGACAGCGGGTTGCAGCTGCTGCCAGCAGGCAGTGCTCTCTGCTCAGCCATCAAGGTTATGACTCCCCGAGGGCTCTCCCTGCTTAGATCTGCTTACAGATTTTATGCAGTGTGCCCACCTCAGATTTTACTTGCTGTCCATCCAGAAGCTTAAGGCAGGGAGAAAGACCTCTTGCAGGCTGCAGTCAAATATAACTGACTCAGGAGCCACAAAGTGGACAATTCCTGAAATCAATCCTAAGTCACCGGAGCTTAGATCTTTGGAAATGCAAAAGCCAGGAGTTCACATCTTCTGCTTCTTTTTGCAATCCTGTTGAGCTTGGAAGAACAGGTCCAACTAATGTTTAGAAGGGATAGGATGAAGATGAGGTGCAAGAGTCCCCTCCCTCTGTTTTTCCTAAGTAAATATAGTTGAATTGATGTAAATCAGCTGGTGAGACAAGACTCTATGACATTTATGATTGTTCTCTTGTAACTACTGATTTTGGTGCCATATGCAAACAAACTATTTTTAATTACTTTAGAAAGCCAAGCAGAGTGCTTGATTAATGTTTTTCTTTTATTATTCCACAGGTTATTATAGATCTAATTTTATTACTTAGCGTATGGTGCTTTAGTAATATAATAGGCTGCTTCCAGAATTTTACTGGTGATTTTTATTTATAGCTATAGATGTCTGTGCTAAAACAAAAGTTATTTTTTCTATGATAAAATAATACATGTGCCTTAGTAGAAATTTGGAACATACAGAAAAGAAGAGGAGAAGAAAAATCCACTCACACGCCCAACATTCAAAAGGCCATGGCTATTACGTTTTATTAAATCTCACCATTTTTTTGTGAATATATATTAGACACTTTAGATTATTTTGTATATATAATTTTGTGTTTTGCTTTTGTGACTGTTACTAAGTCTTCCCATGCATTTAACAAATTTATATGGTTTCTAATCAGTTGTATTTACTGGTTGCAATATTTCTGGTGCCTAAAGTTTATAGAGACATAAACTGTGTTATTGTCTGTCAGTTTATATTCTCTGTCTCTCTTCTCTACTTTCATCCTTTTTTTTATCTTGCCTTTTCTTTCTTTTCTTTTTGGTACTGGGGATCGAACTCACAACCTTGTGCTTGCCAGGCAGGTGCTTAGGCCACTGAGCTAAATCCCTGGCTTTCTTTCTTTTTTTTTTTTTTCATTCACTGAAACTGTCTGTAGCAAAGATGTTCATGTGTATTCTGAACTTTACTGATAAGCAATTGCTTCATTAATAAGTATTCTTGGTTATATTACAGTGGCATGCTGATGAGAAAGCTGCTGAAGGCTGTATTTTAACACATTGTACCAACATTTAGAAATCAAGAGTTTGGGCTGCTCTCTGAAAGCTTGATAAAGAACTTAATTGTTCCCAATAGTTAATGCCTTCCAGATAATTCCCACTTAGAGTAAAGGTCGGGGCATACTTGGAAACAGAATTTAAAAAGTATTCAAATAGGCACATTTTAAAGAGCTTAGTACAGAGAATACTGTGGTGGCTGATTGTGGGAACATTGTGGTTTTCATGTAGACATGGTTGACTTAGAACAAATTTCTCGAGCTGGTATCTTGATCAGTGTGATATGCGCACGTCTCCTAAGTATCCACTGTAGACAGTCTGTTCTGGCAGTGAGCTAGGTGAAATTCCAGTGCTCACCCCAGTTACTACATGTCCAGGCCTCTCCTGCTTAGGCAGTGTGGGCACGGGTGGGTCAGGCTTCTGCTAATGTCAGCCAGGGCAGAGTATAGCTTGGTAAATAAATATTTCACAACGAAACAAAACAAAACAGTGCTTCATTTTATTTTATTCCAGAAGCCATAAAAATATTATGATTATATTTGTTACTGTCTTTCTATAAGTCTAGAAAAATAATTGCTTAATACTACAAATATAAAAGTTTAAAAAAAAAATCCCTTGTCTTTTGTTATCTGTGGAGGAATGTAAAAGTGAAGCTAGAATTGTATGACATTTTCAGGCCCAAAAAAGGAGAGATAGTTTGAAAACTTTAAAAACATGGGAAGAATAGTGAAATAGAATTCTGTAATGGAAATACAGTATGTGCTGGGCTGGAGGAGACGAAATACCCGTAGTTTTCATTCCCCATCTGCCCCTACCTCCTGGCTGAATTTCTTAGAGCTCCACACTTGGTATGTAAATTGAAGAAGTGGTACCAGAACTTCCATGTTGCTCCCAAGCATCTGTGACTCAGGGTTTGAATGGAGCCCAAGGTGCAGAGAATTTAAATTGTGTCTTTGGGTCTGATTTTGAGGGTGGCAAAAACGAATCTTCTAAGATACATCCATGTGCCAGGAAGTATAGCTGGGGGCCTTTGAAGTGTTGAAATGAACTGGGAGATCGCTCTTTTCCAACTCAGACGAGGCGGTCTGTGTGAGTAGCTGAAGATGCAGCATTCTAGCCAGGTATACCGGTGCTACCCAGTGGAGGCTGCGGAGGCTTGCAAGTGTGAGGTCAACCTGGGTGACTTAGCAAGAACTTGTCTCACCCAAACCAAACCAAGTGAGGCTGGAGATACGACTCAATACTCCTTGAGTTTAATCCCCCATATCAGGAAAAAGAGCGCCACATTTTCTAAGACTTGCACCTGACTGTAACTAAATATGAGAATTGAGCAATCACATGCGTGTGGCATGTTTATCTGTGTACATGTGTATTTGCCCTTTGAATTTACTTCTTCCCACCTGGACTGCATGCAGACTGGCTTCTTTTTATACTCCTGAGTGACTGTGGGGTTTCCTTTAAAGGTGGCGCTCCCAACTACTACCCCAACAGCTTCAGCGCCCCGGTGGAGCAGCGCCAGGCCCTGGAGCACACCTCCCGCTGCTCTGGAGATGTGGGGCGCTACAACAGCACTGATGATGACAACGTCACCCAGGTAATGATTCCTTGTTTGCTGTGGCATCACTTGCTAATTCTCCTTGTCTGCATCCATCTTAAAGGCCCTCATGTGTCTTACCTTGAATTTATGAAAGATTTGTTTTTCTCTCTTAATTAATCAGACCCTCTGTGGGATGGCATTGGAGAGTAGTGCTGTTTTTATTTCTGTTCAAAGTGTGGAGACGAATCTCATCTCCCCTAAAATTTATTGAAAGGTATACAATCGAGGCTGATGGGGAAATGTGATTTCGGGAGCTCTAAGAAACGGGGAAACGCAGGTCAGACACCAGCAAAGCTGAATGCGTGGGCAAATCCCAGGGTCTCAGATAAACTGGGGAGCCACAGAAGCTATAGGAGCCCTGGCAGCAGGAGTTTGGGTTTTGCGCTGCAGGATCACCTGCCATGCAGGGGACTCAGCGCTCTGCAGCTGCTGCTTCTGCTTTCCGTCAGCTGATTCGTTATTTCTACCACTGCGTCCAGTGTTTCCCTTCCGTGCCTCAAGGCTTCTCTTGTGCGTTGCAGTGGCTTCATTGTGACCGTGGCTGGACTCTCTTGCAGCTTTTTCTTCTAGGCTTTACCTTTCTACCTCTTTGCTCACCTTCCGCACCTTCTCTCAGTGTTGCTGTGTCAGTTTTAGAGGGAGATTCATTGACCTGGCTGATCTTTCTGCTCAGGTTGAGTCATTGGCTTTTGGTCAGCCTGTCCTTAGCCACCCTGGCCAAGGACTCATCCTGTTTCCAGTTGTCTGTGTCTTCCTTAAGGGCACACTGAGTAGTGACTAGGTTGGTCCTGTGGCCGGGTGACCATCCTCAGTATCATGCCCAGCGCAATTTAAACTGCACACAACAAAACGCTGATAGCTGGGTGTGGTGGTGCGAGCCTGTGATCCCAGCACTTGAGAAGCTGAGGCAGGATGATCATTGCAAGTTCGAGACCAGCTCGAATTACAAAGTGAACTCAAGGCCAGCGTGAACTGCAGAGGAAGACCCTGTCTCAAAAAGGCCAAACAAACAATCAAACCAACCATTGGAGCTTGTATTAGTCAGCTTTCTTATTGCAAATTACATGACACACACAGCTTACAGGAGGAGAGGCTCATTTGGTTCATTTTCAGAGGTTATAGTCCATGGTTGGCCGGCTCCATGGCAGAAAGCAGTGCAGAACAGAGCTCAAGAGCAAGGGGGCAGGGACCCAGTGGAGGTCCCAAAGTCAAGCCTCCGTGGTCTACCCAGGCACACCCAGCAGCACGCTTGATTAATACCCAGTGCCTCCCAGCCCAGCCAAGTTGACAGTTATGCTTAAATATCACAGAGCTATTTCTGGTTTCTCACTGAGAATGTGGATTTCAGGTAAGACATAATTAAATACATGAGTTAATTCACTGTGAGGACCTTTGTTTGAGGGTTTTTGTGTGTATTACTTTATTGTAGGTTATGAGTCACATTTGTGTGAGCTTAACAAGCCTTTGACAGTAACTGCATTGCCTTTAGGGATGCAGGTGACCCCAAGTGTGTGAAGTACACTTTGTTCCCTAAGAATTTTGCCTTCATGAAGTCAGTGAAGACATTAAAGCAGCTCATACAACACCTACAAAAATTAATTAATGAGGCTATTGTGTACATTTTCAAGTTGTAGTATCCTTTTATTTCATTGAGATATTTTCTTATCACTATACAGTACTCACATTTTGAAGCATTGTTATAGATTCGCAGCATAATTGTCCTAGATGGGAACTACAGAACCAAGTTCAGATTTATTTTCCTAAGAATGAGTCCCTTGGGTTTCCTCTCCTGACTGCGGTGGACTTGCTTACATCAGATCTGTGCTCCAATGGCAAACGTTGGAAAGCTAGATAAGGACAAGAATTTAGGGAAGGCTTTGGGGAGCCACTGAAGCAAGCTTTGAGGGTCTCAGATCCTAAGATTTCAGACAGAAAAAAGTAACGGGAAAAAACAAATTCCAAGAGGGAAAGCTGGTGTTTATTGTCCTCTCATGGGCATTTGTTAGCTAGTAAGCCTTGGAGTTGACTGTGGTTTCAGGGGGACAGTGATGGTGAACCTTTTAGAGCTTTCAGTAGTAAATACCTGGCTGTGGCATGCATGCCATAGGTTCACCACCAACTGGTCTTGAGGGGCAGAACTTGGAGCAGGGGGCCTGCCGGGATGGAGAGCCTCTGGTTGTCATCCTGGGCTTCAGCTGGAATCCCTGAGGGCCCACATCGAGGACACAAGGCAAACCTAAAAAATACCTACTCTCACAAGAACTGACACACAACTTTTCATCAGCTCAGAGGCTGGAGAGAGGTGACATGTTGGGAAAAGGACACTATTGTCCTCTGTTCCCATATCCCCAAGTCAGCGTAGGCTTCTGTGACCTCAGAACATGAGAACTTCTCCCCACCAACCAGCGAACAGTCAGCTCTGTGGGGACACCAGCCGGATGTCCTCTAAGCCAATTCGGTTTTAAAATGAGATGGATCGGAGGCTCAGTTCCCAAGACTGCCTCCTACTTGTGATGCCAGCTGCAAGCTTCTGGGTAACTTGTGTTTCAGATTGATGGGTTACAAACCAGAGTCCTCCTACCGCCCTTCTTGGGTCTGGTTTGGTTTGGTTAATTTGCTTGAGTGGCTCCCAGAACTCCAGGATACATGTCTGTTGGTCTATTATTAAGTAAATCACAAAGGATAGGGCACAGGATTGAGGTTGAGGAAAAGCGGCCTGAGCTCCCATGCCCTTTCCAGGAGCATCACCCTCTAGGAACCTGCACACGTTCAGCTATCCGGGAGCACTGTCAGCCCTGTTCTGTGGGGTTTTTATTGAGACATCCTAGTATTACTTAACGCTAACAGATGAAGTGGAAAACCCAGCAAGACCCGTCCGCTCAGATTCTTCTTGGCCTTTCTGTGGGGCATTCCTCCCTCCAGGGTGTAGGGCAGGACCCCTGTGGAATGAGGAGGGTGTCATGACCTGCTTTTGGACAAGAGGGAGTTAGAGAGTGTCTTTGTAGCCAGCTCTAGAACAGAAAGGGAGGCAAAGATGAGTTTCCATGGGGACCTGCCGTGGGGAAGAGAAGCTCTAGCTGGTTGGTGTGCCTGCCTTTGGGAGGCAGTTATAAGACAGGAACCATGGACAGACCCAAAATATAGACCTCGTAATATCACAGGTGATCTCTCTCCACTGTAACCGCTTGCCAGAGGCAAACATAAATTTTGGGGAGAAAATAGAATCTCAGATTCATCTATCTCCAGACCTTTTCATGTGCAAATGTTACGCATTCAGGAGTAAATTATCAGGCACATCTAATCCATAATACCTTATAACTGGAAGTCCCAGATAGGGGAAAAACTCTCTACTAAAACAAACCATAGAAACAAATCTACTAAAAGATGGACATGATGGAATTGTCATACACAAGCTTTAAAGTAAGTGTAATTACTGTTTTCAAGAAAATATATGACAATGTGGACATGTTAATAAACAGATTTTATAAAAGTTGAATGGGCATCCTGAACTAAATAATGCAACAACTGAGATTAAAAATTTATGAATGGGTTTAAGAGGAGATTCTTAACACAGCTGAAGAGAACATTAGTGAATTAGAAGGTAGAGTTCTGAAAGAGAGAAAAAAAGAACTGTTCATTGTGAGACCATTTTAGAGATTGAAAAGGTAAGTCACAGGGTGGCAGAAAATATTTATGAGACATCTAACAAATGATAAACATACAGGATACACGAGGACCTGCTAAGAGCCAAATAAAAAAGTTAACAGAATAGGAAAATGGGACTTGCTTTTATAAACAGACACTTCTCCAAAAGGGATAGATAGAAACCCAAGGGGATGAAAAACATGGAAAGATTAGTCACCAGAGACATGAAAAATAAAACCACAGAAAACACCACTACACATGTACCAGAATGGCTAAGTCTAAAAGGGTTGGTTGGCAGTATCACATGTGAGAATGGGGAAAAGCTCTGATTTGCACATGAAGACAAACTGGTTCAGCTCTTCTAGGAAAGTGTTTGGCAGTGTCTATTAAAGCTGAACATGTGAACATTGACCTCACAAGTCCTCTGTTATGTTGATACCAATAGAAATCTGTGCAAGACTGTCAGGTTCCCCACTTATTAAGGAAAGCATGGATAAACTGTATTCTCACAATGTATACCAACAGAAATCCGTGGGCTACTGTAATAAAGCGATAATACAGATAAATCTTACAAACTTGACATTGTCCAGACAAAAGAATATAGACTGCATGATCTTATTTGTATAAATTAAAAAAGAAAACCCAAAATACAGTTATGTTGCTAGAAGTAAATATATTTGTCTTTGAAGAAGAGAAAGGAGATAGTGAATGGGAGAGGAGGAATCCCCATGGCGAGGGGATTTCTGAGGTGAAGATGTTGTTTCACCTCGGTCTGGGCAGTGGTTTTACAGTTGTGCTTCCTGAAACAATCATTGAACTTAACAGTTGTATCTGATGTCCCTCTCCCAGGCATACTGTGCTTAGATTGAAGATGACATTAGAGAGAACAAGAAAGCCCTCCTACTTTGTACTGACTAGCAAAAGTGTCGCTTTTCTAATGAGGGAGTTGGTCCTGTCATTAAAGATCTGTGGTTAAAGCAGCTAAGAATCCTGACTTGGTTAGTCCAGCAGATCAGCCATCGTGTGTGTGAAGTCCATGCTTTCCTGCAAAAATAGTGAGCTCTAAGGAGATGACATACGTCAGCCAGGCACAAGCATATGCAAGTCCGATCACTGTAGCGCCCTCTAGTGGGACTTCATCAGAGTCCCAGCCTGCCTTTTACCTGATCAGTAGTGACTGCTAATAAGGGTTGATAAAGGTTGCTCTGCGTGCTATTCACGACATACAGTGGTCTCAGGCCACATGCAGAAAGTTATGCTCTTTGTGCGTTTTATTGGTACTTCAAAAAACTGTTGAACTCATACATAACCAAAAACGTGGAAGAACAAGAAATTTATATGGTGTCAGTGGTGTGTTGGCAGATTTTTAACAGCTGGCTCTATCAGTTTTCATGGTGGAACTGTTATTCTGCAGGGCATATTTTAAGCTACCAACATGACAGTCACTGAACCCATGGCATTGGGAAGTGATACTCAGTGTCATTGTTCACGGAATTGCCACCAGAGAGCTACAGCAGACACACCAAAACCTCAAAACCTCAGGTCACCTGCATTAATTAGACGATGATGTGTTTTAAGTATTTTTTTTAGTTTAAAGACAGTAAAATCCAGCAAAACAAAGCCAGTCAAAACAAGGCAGCAGAATTGGTACAGATCTTCAAAGCAGGATACTAGAAAAACAACAATAGCTACCATAGTATATCTTGTTATCTTCACGGTAGTTGTCCATTCCATCAGGTGTAGCAAAATCAAACCAAAACCAAAGCAGAATAAAACCAATCAAAACAGAACATTGAATAAAGCAAAAACAATCTGAATAAAGCAAAAACAGTGAGAATAATATTGGATTTCAAAGATAGGATAGAAGGAAATCCCCTGTATTTGCTCTATTGCATCCTGTCGTCCTCCCAAGAGATGCTCAGACCACTGGCCCTAGGACTTCAAAATCAACCAGACAACACAAGCATTAGCTGCTTTGTGTTCCTTAGTTGCTATCAACTCAGGCTGTGCTCCGAACCAGCGGGTTGCTTATGGGGTGAGGCGACTGATTCCCGTGCATGCAGTAGGCGCTGACTTTTCTCTCCCTGGAAGCCACGTGGCTTGCACTGCTCACCAGAAAAGCTTGCTGGTTGGCTTCTTGTTGGATCCTCTGAGTCCCAGCATCTGTTTTGAGTATTTGTTACTTGTTACTTATTATTTATACTGACATTTAATTGTAAGTCTATATACTTTACTTTGAGGAAGGCCATCTTTAACAACAGGGTCCCTGAAAATGTGACCATGCCTTGTCACAAGAAGCCATTTGCAGCTCCCCAGTGGAGGTGCAGTTAGGAATCACTTTGAGTCCTAGATAGAGTGACTGAGGCGACGTAGAAGGCTTTTCTACTTCTGTTAACCCATAAACATGCTAGATTAATATTGTTTTGTTTTTTAAATAATGTAAATAAGCTAAAAAATACATTGTCTTCAAGTCCTAAAAAATGGAGTTACAGTACTAACTAAGTGTTGAAGGTACATGAATCCCAAGAAGGCAGTCAGAACTGATTTGCCCCTTGTGAATATTTTATGCCCCCAGGGGCTAGGAGTTCCTATGTTGCAGAGAGCTAGAGCTCATTTCCTGTCATAATGATGAGGACCAGAAAAGATGCCCCATGGGGAAAACTACCCACCTTGCTGACGATGCGGCTTGGAAACATTTGTACTCTGGAGCGCAATCCTGAGAAACTGAGAGCCCTTCCTCTCTGCTGTGCTTAAGAGAAGGCTCTGCATTCTTGTCCCACTGAGAACCACACAGGACCCTAGCTGAGAATCAAATGTATCAGTGAATACTCTGAGGCCTTTGTAGAGGTGACACAGAAATCACCAGAGGAAGACATCTCAGATAGGGTGTTTGGCTCTTCTCCAGAGGTGACTCCTGTGGAAGAAGAGTTGCAGTACATACAAGGAGATTACAGCACCTTCAGGGAAATCAGTGCAACAGACATTGCACAGGCAGTACATGGGAGAATCACACACATGGTAATTTGAACGTGGCTTTGAAGTAAGCATGTATCAAGCTTAAGAACGTGCAAAAATGAATGTCACCTGTAAGACAGCAACAGGACATGAGGGGAAAAATGTAGACTTGAAAAAGAACCAAATAGAAATTTCTAGAAACATAAAAATACAATGTTTGAGATAATAGGGCCTTAATGGATGTTTATCTAAGTGTTAGATAAAGCTTAAGAGAGAATTTATAAATTCAAAATAGATGTGAGAAGATCCACAGGGTAAGTGCTTTGATTAGATTATGTTAATATCAAAAATTTGATTTTTCCTTAAAGTTTGGTGTTGGATTTAAACTTTCAGAGTAAAAAGTAACAGTATCCTGATATTGACAATTTAGAAAAATAATTCATATCTCAATATTTTATGAATTTGTTACTTTGGATAACTGGGTATTATTAAGCTTCATAGACAGTAATGGAATATTGCATAAAGCAGAATCTGGCACAATAAATATTTTTGTCAAATGAATGAATGAATGAATGAAATGTTAGAAAAGCCATAACCTAGAAATGATTGGTTACAGAACTGAGCAGAGACTACCTAGAGCTCACATACCTCATACTAAGCTCTTACTTAAAATTTTTATCTCTTGGTATTTATTCTAGGGATAAATCCAGTAATTCAAGCAAAATACCACTATTAGTATCCGTCTTGCCCAAAAAATTTTGACTCCTGAGTAACTACAGAAGTAAATGTATATCAGCGAATTAGTTTTTATTTCCTCCTTGGTTCTGGGTAAATTAAACACAGGCTGTGTTTTGCTGAGTTTATATTCAAAGACATCTTGCACATTCTGGACTTGGCAGTATTGACATTGCAGTGAGGTTTTTATAGGTGCTGTAGTTGCAAAAAGCTCATAAGGGGTGACTAGGAAAGAGGTTACCAACAAGCAGTTTTGTGCTGTTACCAGCAAACGAATTCCTCCTGTTTTGCTTACAATAAAACAAAAAGTAAAGAACCAAACACAAACGCATTTCAGTTTTAATTTTAAATTCTCCTTAAGCTTAAAAACGTTCACGGGCATTTGAAACGTGGCGGCGTATTGGCTGAGCTTCGTTCCTGACGAGCTGATCGTTCTGTGCTTTGCGCGGGCTCTTCCCCGAGCAGGTGCGGGCGTTCTACACGCAAGTGCTCAATGAGGAGCAGCGGAGACGCCTGTGCGAGAACATCGCCGGCCACCTGAAGGACGCTCAGCTCTTCATCCAGAAGAAAGCCGTGAGTCCACCTTTGTCTGCTGAAGGGTGACACCTGCTGGCCGCAGGGCGGTATTGCAGCTGCGTGGAAGAATCCTCACAAGAGTCATTTCTGTTACTTGAGCTAAGAAGGACTTTAGAAAAAAAAAAAATACTCCACTAGACCTTCCACGATTCTCTGTGTTTATGTGGCATGACATGTTCAGGGTCTATTCTCTCCTAAATGCAGCCGAGTTCTGTACCAGATAGTAAATGTCTGATATCAGAATGGTTCCTGCCACAATTTTGCATAAGCTTTAGATGATAAGAAACACAGCTTACATTTTTTGCGGTTTGAAATCTGCCTGTGGGGCTTAATGTGATGACTTCTTGACCCTGCTTCATATGCAGACTAGAAACTAACTTCCTGTTTTCTGCAGGGAGAGCTGCCCTCCCCTAAACACAGGCCAGATTCTGGAGTGAAAGGGATAGGATATTTCTGCTGGCTGCTCACTGAGCCATATGAACTCCTCTGACTTTTGGGGTCCTGGCAGGCCACAGAGTTGTAAAGCCAGGTGTTGGTTGCCCTGTCCCCATAAGAAGCAGTTCTCTAATTCTGACAGTAACCTGGTGTCTTACAAGTCAATTAGTTTTTATAATAAATTCCTGAAGAAAGCATCTGCCTATCAGTTTAGATGTCAGATGAGGTGCCCTGGCTATCCGTGCTTCTGCAGATTCTCACTACACATACCGGGGTCCCCATGAGCCTTCCTCAGGTTTGATGATTTGCTGGAATGATTTAGAATTCAGGAGAGCACTTTTCTCTTTTGTTATAAAGGCTTCAACTCAAGACCAGCCAGACTGAGTAGAGGTGTAAGTATACAAGGCAAGGCCGGTGAGAAGGCTTGGAGCGCCATCCTCCCAGGGTTGCTTCCCTTCCAGGACCTCGATGTGTTTGCTGACCCCAAAGTTCCCCGATCCCTGTCACTTGGGTTTTTAATGGAGGTCTCATGGTATATACGTGGGATCAAATCATTGTGTGACTGAACACAGCTTCTGGCCTTCCTTCCTCCCTGGAGGCTTGGGGTGGAAGAGAGGATTTTTTTTTTTTTTTTTTTTTTTTTTTTTTTTTTTTTTTTTTTAATTTTTATTTAAGGAGAAAAGAAAAGGAAAAAAAAAAACAGTGAAGGGTACAAGTTATACAGATTTACAGAAGAAAAAAATGCGCAGTAGGAAATCACTAGTTAATAGATTACATATTGCCATCTTAGAAATAATTGTTCAAGTCACAGAATTAAAGTTTGTAGAGTGGACATTCCAGCAATGATACTGCAAACAGTTCTGTTCAATGATCCATTAGAACTCTGTGATATCATTTTCTGTCTTATACATTTAAATATACATGCAGTTATATAGTTTAGAGCATTTTCTTTTCCTCTCTTTTGTACAGTGACTATTACACATTTTGGGTTTCATTGCTCCCACTGTTCTTATTGCTTTTTTGGAAGAGAGTAAAACCAAATGTGACATAACAGAACAGAATCGGTCAAGTCAAAAGGGTGGATATAATAGATAATATAAAAACATAATACAAGGTGATCAACAATGGTTACCCTAATGCCTCCCGCTATTTCTAATAGAATTGCCTATATCATTAGTTGTAATACTATTGAACAAAACCATAAAGGATAAAACCGACAAAACCAAAACATTGGAGATATTGTAGGTCTTCAAAAGTAGATAGAAGTCAACGAGAATGGGCGTTATAATGAATCTCATTATCTTCTCAGCTGATGCCTAAACTTTCGAACCTGATACTATTCAGCAAAACAGAATAGAGGAACCTCAGTCAAAAACAAGATGGTGAGAGTAATACAGGGCTTCAAATCGAGAAAATAGAAAGTCAAAGTGGGTTACTATATTATATCCTGCTATATTTTTCCCTTTAATTAAATGGATAACAATAAAAAAGTATATAATGGAGTGGAGATTGAGAAAAAGAAAAAGAGGGCATAACAGCGAAACAGGGCAGATCAAAACATAACCTTTTAAGCAGAATAGTGTTTCACCACCAGATATTTCCGACTTAAAAATAGTTACCATATTGACTCCCTCCCTGAAGTCCTTGAGTACAACTTCATATACTGTAGCATTAAGTATATCAAAACAATGTAAAACCATTTAAGAGAATGACAGCATTATAGAGTATTTGGAATTGACTAACAGAAAATGAACAATGGTCTCTGTATAATCTCCTTGTCTTTAAAAGGTTTTTGCTTATGCTAACGTACATAACAAAATCCAATAAGATACAACCTGGTTAGACCATTGGAGACAGAAGAACAAAAGCTAGATGAGACTTCAAAACAAGATGGTACTGCATCAGCATTACCTATTAAGATGTCATTTTCTCAAAAATAGCTGTTCCTATCATCCAATCTTCTCTGTCTCATTTCTGTTGAGCTCTTTTTCTGTCAGTAGCTGTCAGTTTGTCTTCTTCATTTTGTTGTCTGCTCCATTCGTTGTGGCCTCCCTGCCACTATTTCTGGGTTCTTTGTATTTTTCTTTTTTTAGAATATCCTGCAATACTTTCTGTAGAGTTGAATTGGTGGTTGCAAATTCCCCCAGTTCCTCTTTATCCTGGAAGCACCTCGTTTTTCCATCAATTTCCAGGGACAGTTGTGCAGGATATCTCAATCTTGGCTGGAGATTATTATCTTTCAAAGCTTGAATTATTTCCCCCCATGCTCTTCGTGATTTGATGGTTTGTGAAGAGAAATCTGCTGTAATTCTGATGGGTGTTCCTTTGTAAGTGATCTGTTTCTTGTCTCTTACAGCTTTTAATATTCTGTTCTTGTATTGAATTTCTGGGATTTTTATTATTATATGCCTGGGTGTTTCTCTGTTAGGGTTGTAGGTAGCTGGGGTCCTGTATGCCTCATACAGCTGAGTATCTTTACCTTTTGCTAAATTAGGAAAATTCTCCTGGATTATTTCTGTGAGTAGCTTTTGTAATTCACTTGTTTGTGTCCCTACTTCTTCTTCTATGTTCTTAATCCTTAAGTGGTGGCTCCTCTTATCATCTTCTTGTTTTTGTATTATTGCTGTTTGTTTCTTTATTATTTTTAAGAAGTTTTTCATTTCATTCTCCCATATTTCAAGTCTGCCCTCCAGTTCAGATAGTCTGTCCTTAGTTTCTTTCAAGCTGTTATGCCAGTCTTGTATAGACTTATTAATTTCTTGATAGTCCCTTTGAACCTGCTTCACATACTCAATGCTTTCTCTGTTTTCTCCATCAAGCAATTCTCCCCTCTTTTTCTGTTCTTCCATTCCACCATCTGTTTTTTCCTGGGTGGTGTTTAGCATTTCTCTAACTATTCTGCATACTTCTAGCTTCAGATCATTGATAACTTCATTCCTGAATTGGTCTATGAGGCTCTCAATATGGTGCTTAATGTATACTGGTGCGGCGTCCATTATTGCCTGTTTCTCAGGATTGGGGGCTGAGGAGCTTTTTTTGTTGCTTCCCTTCCCCATATTTTTTGTTCCTTATAAAATGCAATCTTACAAAGGAGGCCCGGCTTCCCTGCCTGTCAGCCACAGCCTGATCAAATTGCGCTGGCTAGTTGTTCCCGCCCACCGCTGCGCACCAGGGAGTCGGAGGAGGCAGCCTACGCGGAAGTCAGTCGCTCCTCCGGGCCATCGTCCGGCTCTGGGATCTGGGTTAGGCTAGTCTAGCCTAGAGAGTCCGCCAGCAGCGTCACTCAGGCCAGGGACTTTTCACCAATCCCGTCCGAGAGGGGAATGGCGCCCAGAGAGATCTCCGCTAGAGTCAAACTGTGGTGGGGGGTCAGATTCTTACTCACCTCGCCACCAGTCAGTTTTCGTGTACACCTCTGTCCGTCCTTTTTTTTTTTTTTTCGACTCCGTTCTCCCGTTCCCAGAGCTCGGCGCTCCCAGAGCTCGGCGCGTCTCTCCTTGCTGAGCCGCTGTGGAGATAGCCGGCCGCCGCACGGCGGGAAATCCAAACCGGTTTCCAAAGGCGCGGAGTCGAGCCTCCACACCGAGATTTTTCTGTTCCTATTTTAGCGCCAAGACTGTATTCCAAGTTGGATTCTCTCAGCCCAGTTCGTTCCTGAGTCAGCAGAGCATATCTCTACTGATTCGTGTCTCCCTAGTCCGCATTATTTCTGGCCTCTGAGCCGAACCTTTCAGAGAGCCTCTGGTAGTTGCTGTTGTCTGTCCGCCATGTTCTCTCCGATCCTTCGAGGATTTTTCTAACCACAACTTGGTCATTCTATTATTACTTCCATTCTGGGGCCCTCTAGGCTGCACTCAGATGACCATGAGTCATCTGAGTAGCACACAGAAGACAGTAGCTAACAAGGGTTTCAGAAGCTCTGTGATGGCGGCATAGGACGGGGACCAAGTATTTCTTTATGATGCTACTTAGGTGTAATTATCTTGCTCATTTAGCAAAAGGGACACTTGAGGTTCAGATAACTCAAGTGACCCTAGCCAAGGTTGCCTAGATGGTGCATGGCAGATCTGCCCTGGACACTCAATTCCTCCTCCAAGGTCTGCGCTGTTAAACAGCGCATGACCCTGCTTCCTGCGGAGCCCTCCTTCCTCTCCTGTTGAATAAACAGGCAGAGACACTGAGGAATGGCTAGTTGGCGGCTAGGTGAAACTTAGGTTCATTTTCATTTGCTTCTAGGTCAAGAACTTCATGGACGTCCACCCTGACTATGGGAACCGTATCCAGACTCTTTTGGACAAATACAACGTTGAGAAGCCTAAGGTGAGCCTGGAGCAGAGGATGTGTATGATGGATTAGACGAGAGTGATTTAGTTTCTTCTTAGCATTTTCTCTTCAGGCACCAGTATCTATAAGTAATACATTTCTGAAGCAGTTATCCAGAAATTCACTTGCAATATAAAGAACTCACTTGCAAAACCCACTCTTCTTTTTTTTTTTTGAAGTTTTACTTTTATTGGTACATACTTGCGGTACATAATGATCATATTTATGATCAACAGGATAAAACAGTTCAATGTGGGTCAACTCTGAATTATTATTTCCATTTGGTTGCGAATGAAAGCAAGACAAATGCCACATTTCCGCTGCCTGTGCATTCATTAAACTGCTGGTCTTGTTCTTTTAAAACAGAACGCGATTCACACCTTTGTGCAGGACGGGTCTCACTTGTCTGCAAAGGAGAAAGCTAACCTGTGAGGCTCCTCGGCTGGGAGGGCTGCGCCTCGAGCTCCCACCTGTAACCTGCTGTGGCCAGATGGAGGCTTCTTCCCTGCCGTGCGCACAATGCAAGCTAATGTCTGAAATGATAATCAAGATACCGCTAGCAAATAACGTAACAATGGCTTTCAGGGCAGTTTCCCTACAGGAAAATAAAAGTTAGCGCTTCCCAATCACTAAACAGAAACACGTTTGCATTTGACAGTTGGTTGGATTATTCACTTAGCATAACTAGAAGTTTCTAGCCAGAAACATGATTTTTTGGAGGGTAAGAAAAATAATCTTGCTGAAATTAGTATGTTTACATATCATCTCATCACCTCCTATGTAAAAATATGGCTATAATTATACAATAAGAAAAGACAGAAATGTTCCACCCAGAGAATTTTATTTTTCTAAGATCCTTCTAGTAAAGGCACACTGAATGCATCAATATCCTCAGGAAATAACTTTAACAGTGTTTCTTCCTGTTGGTAATTGATTGGATTAACTTTTTTTTCCACTTGGAATTACATTTATGCTAATATTACGTTGATTTTATAGCAGGTTGACTTGTAATTGCTTAAATTTTTACAATAAACAATCTGTATGTTAAAATAGAAAAAATGGTGTTTGGTTTCTTTTGACTCCATATATAACTTGGAGAATACCAGTACATAATTTGAACATCATCCTTCTTCAGATGCTTACCCTTAAAAACGGAAGTGCCACGATGCTGAGGGTACTGCGTTGTTTGTTCAAATCAGTAGTCTTGGAGCAAACTTCTGGTCACTGGGAAGATAGCAGGTGTCCTGATTTTGAAACTTACTTAGATCTTTTGTCTGTAAATGTACTCATTTATGAATTTCTAAAATCACAAGACTTTAAGGGTGGATTCTTAGTATGAAAGGAAAGCTTGCTTTGCTTGAAAACTTTTTGTCCTTTTTATCTTAAAAGCCAGTGTGTGCTGATTGTCATGGATTTTCTGAGATGCAGGTTCAGAAAACCACTGTAAATGCTCATTCTTTTTGCTCTCCCTTCTTCACTTGCCTGTCAAACTCTCCTGCCTCAGTTTCCCAAGTAGCTTTGAAACTGTTCTATTCGTAGACATAGACGATAAATCTGTTGGTACCCAAGGGAGACTACTGCCAACAAAGTGACTTGACTTTCGTTGTCTCTTTATGGTAGTCGAGCTCTAAAATCAAACCATAAGAACTAATGTAATTTGAAAACAGGGAGGAAGGTTATTTGATATTGATTATACACATAAAAACCGAATTTTTTGGAAATCAATTTCTGCTTTTTTCTATTGTAGTCTAAGATTAAGTTGGAAGTTAAAACCACACGAATCTAACATGCTCTCCATAAAAGAACTAGCTGACAATTGAGAGGATCCTGGGTTCCGGCTCTGGAGACCTGGTATTGTGATTTTTCAGAAATAAGCACTAATGAGCTTCACTTCCTCAGGTGGACTTTACTTTCTGTCTGTGTTCTCCTTAAGTGACACTGAGTCATGTCTTAAGAGTTTCTGAGCCAGATTTACAGAGAGGGTGAAACGAGTGTGCTATAGTGACTTAGACCCAGACAGAGCTCAGCTTAAGACCAAAGTCTGTCATTTCGTACCCGTGGGGACTGGAGCACATCACTCCCCTGCGCCTTCATCGATCATGGGGCCAAGGATTATTCTTCTCTCCCGACTGTTGTGTGATGCTCATTCTCCATCTGTAACTTTGACCACATCTTTGCTGCTCTGTCCTCCTCGTGCCATGTCCCGGTCAGCTGTTGCTTGATAACGGACTTCTTTACAGCACAGTGGCTTAAAACAGCAGTCACATATCACTTCTGCATCGAAGTTGGGTGGGGCTGACTAGGCTGGGGGCAGCTGGGCAGCTTGGCTGGGACAGCTCCGTGTCACGTGTCTCACTCTCCTGGGGTCCAGGTTGAAGTGTAAAAATGCAGTCTTAGTTGTACAAGTGCTTGTTAAGCCTTGTTCATGTCCTATGCACTAATAATTCACTGGTTAAAACAAGTCTTATGGGTAAGGCAAAAGATAAAGGGGGACAGTATGTATTACCCACGGAGGTAGCGTGTGTGTGTGTGTGTGTGTGTGTGTGTGTGTGTGTGTGTGTGCGTCTGTGGTGTGAAACATGTTAGATCCCCAGTAACTGGAAAACAAAACCAAAAAACAATATAGCAGCAGAGCTTCCCACAGAAGATTTGCAGTTTGTCAATACCAAGGCACCTTGGTTCCTGAATTGAGTTCGTTCCAAGATTCTGGAAGAGATGGCCATGTCCGAGTTCTTGTGGGAAAGATGGCTATGGTTGTGCTTCTCACCTGATGCAGAATTTGCAAATAAAAATAAAGCTTTGCCAAACACTTCTATTGCAAACCAAACTGCTCATAAACAAAAGCATTCCTGAACCGAGGCAGCTGTGTACTTGTTTAAAAATTTCAAAATTATGTAAATCTTTTTACTAACCTTTCACATTTTTCAGAGCTCTGGAAGGGATTTAAAAGCCCACGGTTGTCTTACTGGGCACTTCACTGTGGAATCTGGCTCTTTGCCCTTTGTTCTTACTAAAAAGCAAAGAAGTGGCCCAAGTAGCTTATCTGTGGCTTTTGTCACAGAAGAGTCAGTACTAAGGACTGTCTGTCAGAGAGGAAGAAATAATGTGTTCTTCTGTTACTGTTTTGGGAGTGCTGGGGATTGAACCCAGGGCCTGGAGCATGCTAGGTAAGTGCTGTCCCACTGAGTGACACCTCTAACCTCCTGTTCACCCAACCATGGGTTATCAGGTTAAAATTCTAGTGTGTACTTTATTAGCGGTTGCTCAGTTCATGGTAGCCAGAAAGCAGAGCAGGGAAGAGTTCCAGGAAGGGGCTGAGGACCGTGTAAAGCACATGGTGTCACGCCTCCATGGCCACCCCCAACACGTGCAAAAGTGTGCCAGACACGTCACAATTAACAGTCCCAGTTGCTAAGCTGCCCAGGCTGGGGATGAACTTGCAATCTTCCTGCCTCATCTTCCCATGCCTGGCTTCCAATCCCCAGTCTCAAAAAAATAAAAAAAGGCCATCAAAGACTTTCTAGATTTGCATTGCTTTCCTGAGCTGATCATACTGACCTGAGAAATACAGAGACAGCTAAACGTGTTAAATATTTTATTCACATTGTTTACAAACTCAATCCACCTGGAAAACACATAAGTCCAAAAATAGATTATTTTACAGTAATTCACATTTAAAAAAAAACAAGGTCTGCAGCCTGTGTTGTGGTTCGGTAGCTCAGCCCTTGATGGGCAGCTCCTGTGAAGTCCGAGACCCCGGGCCAGGCCAGCTAGGTGTAGGTTACGACTTACACACCAGTGAACAGTGAGGAAATGTCAGTGCAGACTGTCGCCTGTGACCATTTACTGGTGTAAATTCACTTCTGCTATTTTTGTCAAGGAAATGCGTTCTAGAACCTGAGTTCTAGGTAAGAAGTTCTAGGTAAGAAGACAAAAGAAACTCACAGGTTGTTGGTATATTTCCGGTTCTTTCAAAGTTTAATGCCAACCTCAGACAGAATCAATGAATAATGATTTTATCCTGTTGATGGGTGGAGTCACAGGCAAGCAGTGACTTGAAAAGTTTGCATGTCTGATGCTGTCACCACATACACAACGACTGAGTCCAAATGTAAGCTGAGATGCAGAGAAATTTGATCGGCACGCTTGTAGGTTAAAAAGCCCATCAATGAAGCAGGGAAATGATCTTAGTGGCAATTAATAATATGGTTAATTTCAAGTGTGTAACTCCACAAGAGGCGCTATAGGAATTTTGCTGAGTGGTCAGGAAGATGTCACGGTTAAAAAAACTACTATTACCCTATGCTGACTCCAGTTATGACTCAGCTGAACTTTTTCTTATTAAGAAGCTTTTCTATGGAATTTGACTTTAATGATTTAAAATCTAAGATATATATCTTATATCTCTCTCCTACTATAAACTACATACCAATCACGATTTCTTTTTTCTTTGTGAGTTGCCACAGTTAACCACGGGACAGATTTGGAAGCTTGGGAATAGGAGGATTAGATGTGTCTCTCATGGCAGAATTAGGTCTTTTCTCTGAGCAACACCAATGACACACGTTATTGTGGCTCTGCTGTTTTTGATTAGGGAAATGACATTAGATCAACATACCGTAAAAGACCATCCCTTCCTCTCCTTGGGGAGAGGGAGATTTCTGAAGGGCTCTCACCCCAAGTAGACAACAACTGAGTCCAAATGTAAGCTGAGACGTAGAGAAATTTTATCAGCACATTTGCTGGTTAAAAAAGTAAGGCCTTCAAGTGTCTGGTGCAATCTGATTGTTTTCAAAGACAGTAATCCATAGCACGAATTTGATGCTTGGAACAGATCATAGCTTGTCTTCCTGCCAGCCATGTGCATTTTTTCCAAATTTGTACACTAATCGTCGGTCGACCCGCTCCAAAATTCCTGTTTTATAGTAATATCTGTGAAAGCAAATACAAGAGCAGTTCGGGGAGGGTTTGTATCCCAGGAAAACAACAGAACAGAAACACCCCTCAATCCTCTCAGGTGAGGAGGCTGGGCTTTGGTTACTCTGGTATTTTTCACACCTTGTTATCAGCTTACACTTAAAACCTTTCCCAGACATCTGGAAGACTGACCCGCGCCATAATTGAGAATGCACACGTGTGTGTGTGTGTGTGTGTGTGTGTGTGTGTGTGTGTATGTGATAGCCTGGCTTCAGATGGATTTCTGGGGAATAGTGCCAGGCATGGGAAGTACGGAGTGTTAATTTACAAGCCATAATCCTGCCTGTAACTAAGAGCCCAAGTCCTGTCTCATGATCTTTCCATTATAAAGTTATAAGAAGCAAACCCAGTGTAATGTTCGACAATCGCCCATTTTATGTAAGCCCTCTTTGAAGGCTCCTGGTGTTTCGTGCTGTTCACTCACCTCAGAGCTCTGCTCAGCTTCTCGTAGGTCATCCTGTCATTTTTCTTCCTTTGTCCCCACATCTTTGCCAGGGCTTCGGATTTAACCACCCGAAAAATACCTTGTTCCCTGTCTTCCCATTCCAGAATGCCACAGTTTTCTTCAGGAGATAGAAGCAGGTCTCGAACAAATTCCCATAGATGAGAACTCTGGAGGCCTTTTGAGAAGGGGGAGAAAAGGCGCAACTTACATTTTAGAACTGATTTCTTTGTGGGCCTGTTTCTCATCGGATGGCTGAGTGCGTCTACTAGGAACCTTACCGAGCGATGATTATTGTCTTCCAATAAACAGCAGCAAAACACACATGGAGAGACACCAACTTTATACCAGCCATCAGCACTGTGGCTCACAAACACTCTTTGCTGAGTGGACTATGGGTTACTTCGTATGCAGTGCAGGAGACAACAGTCAAAAGATCTTTTCATTTTCCTTTCTGATAGGCGTTATGGTTATACTGAGATCCTGCAGCCAGACCTGCCCTGCCTTTGTTCCAGTACAGGGCTGGACACTTACTGCCTGACTTTGGGTCCTCAATTCCCTGCTCTGTAATCTCTAGTTACCTTTTCTGTGAAATGGGATAATAAGAGAACCCATGTCACAGGAGAGAGTGGAGGATTTAGTGATTTCGTATGTATCGTGCAGTATATATTGAATAACCCTGCCTAGTATTGAATGATTATTTTCCATACATATATTGGTGAACTGACAGTTTGGCTTCATGCTGGGTAGATCTGAGTGCCAGGAAAGGCCCATAGAATTGCCAACACCTGGCATTTTCTTTGCTATTCTGAGACACATAGAAGACCAGGCAAACTAAAACCCTCTTTGAGAAATACGAAATGCTTGCAATATTTCTTTACTGCCTCACTTTAATTCTTAAAATGTCATATTCAAGTAAAAAGAAATAAACCTGGCTTTGATAGCATTTCTGGAAGTGGCCATGATTTCTCGTTGCCCTTTCTAGGAATAGCCAACCATACACATTTAGTTTCAAAGCAGCCTTGTCTTGGGAGTGACTTTAAGCAGTTAGCAGCAAAACCCAGGGCCTCTGCACTTACTTGTCCGACTGTGACTCTGACAGTCTTGACTTTTGATGCCACTTGCTTTCAAGCAGTTGGAATCAGCATCTGAAAGAGTCATAGCAGTGGAAAGGGTCACAGAGGTCCCACGCGCATCTCAAACTGCACCTGAACGAGCAGACACTCCTCGACTGCCTTCCTGGAAGGAGACCCTGTGCTGGGCACTTTGTGGGTCATTAGTGGATGGATGGGACCAAGAGGCTGAAGACTCCACGCCTTCGGAGAAAGACTATGCTCAGTCCTGGGACTTATCATGGTCTGGATGCCGGCATACAGCGTGATCGCAATAGGTGTGGTCCCTGCTCATCTGGAATCAAAGGAAAAATACAAAACAAAACAAAACAAAGCAGGCAGATTGCCCCTTGCTTTAGGTGTTATGCAGGAGACTGAACCAGCATGGAGAAGGCACCGTGTTCTGCAGAGAAGACGCTGTGCTAAGAGATCAAGATGGAGGTGAGACGAGGGTCCCGAGCAGAAGCAGCATGAGCAAAGCCCGGCATGGACAGAGAACCCGAAAGGCAGGTGCACTGCAGGCCAGGCCAGATAGGAGGTGGCTGTGGCAGATGGCAGCGCGGGGAGGTCCCCACAGGCCATGGGGAAGCCTTGGGATTTTATATCAAAATGTGAAGATCTCTCGGGTTACTTTATGGAGAACAGATTGGAAAGCTCACAAGTAAAAGTAAAGACCAGGCCCTTATAAATGAGAAAAAACAAGTCATTAAGTCAGTGTTGAGTCAAATTATACATAACTCATGTTGTGATGATCTAACACGGCATTGTTCCAAAATAGCATGGGATTTTTAAAAATGGGAGTATTGGGTATGCCCTGTCTGTCCTGCATTGATTCTCTACCTCTTCCCTTATCTTCTAGCTCAGTTTGCCCCAGACACCCTGGCCCCTGGCTCTTTCTCAAGCTTGCAAGCACATTCTACCTCAGGGCCTTTGCACTTGCTCTTTCATTTGCCCAGAATGCACTTTCCTTGTATATCCATGAGTTCAGACCCTCCTCTCACACTTGGCTCAAAATCCCTTTCCTGCAGGGCATTTTTGACTACCCACGTTGTCACCACATGCACATTCAGACACAGTATTCCATATCCACTTCCTTTATCACCTTTGAGCGTGCTCTGATGCCTTTATTTATGTAGCCCACTGTCTGCTGGTGCCCACTGGAGGGCAGGGTTTGTGCTTCCAGATGTGTCCCCCAGCAGCTAGCACAGTGCTAGCCATAGAGTGGTGCCTGTAAGTGTCACTGAATGGTCGCTAACCGTATCTGCTGTGCAGTCCAGGATGTACACTTTGACAAGTGAAGGAATCGATTTAATGTCAAGGGAAGGGCTAGTGTCACACACACCAATCTGTTGCCAGGGTGACTTGTGCAGTGTTGCTGTGTCGTGCCATTCCCTGCTGAATATCCCACAGAGGTTCCAGGATGAAGGCGGTCATGCTAGTTAGGCCTTTCACCAGCTGGACTTCACCCAGATCTCCAATATGACCCCAATGGAGTGTGGACTTCTCCTGCCTCAGGACCTTTGCACAGGCTTCTCAGCCATGACTTCTACACAGGAGCTCTTCCCTGAATGCATCCTCTGGGTCATATTCCTTCAGTTTCTGCATGTCCTTTGTTATCAAAGCATCAGTTCCACTTTTAGAGTCCATAGTGAAGCCTTGGCATTTTATATCAAGAGATAAAGCAAAGATCCACATTTTGACATGATCCCTCTGGCTACTTCATAGAGAACAGATTAGAAGGGACATAAGTAAAAGTAAAAATCCACCTTGTCTCTGTATCTCTTCTATTAACAGCTGAGATTTATGGAGCATTTACTGACTGTCAGGGGCTTGGGAATCGCTACACACATATTATGCCCTGTACTCCTGCACCAGCTCCGTGCGATACTATTGAGATTTCATCTTATTCAGGAATCCGAAGGCAAAAGATTTTAAAAGCTATATCCAGGCAGTGAAGCCAGGACCCAAGAGTTCCCATTCCAAGCCCAGCGCTCACAGCGTCTACTTTGTCCTGTTCTACAGTCCGACAGGTACTTAGTGAGCACTTGTTCACTGGGATTTGCTGAGCACCGCCGCTCGCCCGATCTAAGCCTCCCTGCTGCCTTCATCCCCTCCTATTTCCAGACCTCGCCACTGTTTTGATTTACTATTTCAGGAAGAGGGAAAACAAGAGGAGCCAGCAAGATAAACAGAGCTGAATTATTGATTGTGGATCGACAGCAAGCTTTCTCTGAAATGCTAAAGTGGCGGGAATAAGGGGGAACAAGGTCACTCTCCTGGCCTTGTGTTTTGGATGAGGGACGTCTTCCTGGTGGGGTGAACACAATACAGGTCAGCATGAGGTTGAGTCGGAGGTGGTAGGAGCCTTGGTGATGGTTTTCTGGTCTGGATCATCCCCTTCTGTTCCTGTGGTGACTTTGAAAGTACTTGTGGGATGATTATATTCAAGATCTCGCTTGGCCGGTGATGGCAGCAGTGGTGGGGACAGTGTATGGGCAGAGAGACCAAAGTCATGACTGCCGTGTTAGATGGCTCTAATGTTGGAGCAGGTTCCCAATCAAACCCTTCACCAAGTCAGCTGCACGCTGACCTCAGTGAACTCCTGGGCAAATGTCCGTGGTGATCCTGGGCGTGGTTCTCCCTGTCTTAGTCTTCATTTCAAACATGTCCCTGCAGCTGGCCTGTGCCTGTTGTGGGGTGAGTGGAGGCCTGGCCTGGCCTGTGTGGTCTAGGAGACTCACTGGCTCTGAGTCTGGAAACTTCACTGTTCCCAAAGGATTTATTCTCATTTGGGGATTGAAAGCTTAGACCAGTATCCTCCAGAAGCTGGGATACGGTGCTGAGGGCAGGGTTTCCATGGCAAACTCATGGTCCAGGCACAAGGCCCACACCTTGCCAGGATGGTGTGGGGGTGCTCTGAGGTCAGGAGCACGAGGTACCAGCAGCCAACACAGAACTGCAGGCTTTATCTTGGGGTGCAGTGTATCCTCCCTGGTGTTTCTGTAGCAGATGGTGTGTGGAACAAAGCTGTGGGACAGTACAGTGGAGAAGGGCTGGGCTGCTTCACTTTGCCCAATTCTGAAGGTTTCATAGCTTCCTGGGCCTTGGACCCTTCATTGGGTAGCAGGTTGAAAATCATCCCATTTGGAATGATTGTTAAACTGGGCTGAGCAAGATCCTTGGACCTTGGGTCTTCACTGAGTGGGCAGCAGAGTGAATTGAAGGGCCTGGAGCATGTGTACATGTCATGCATATGTATGTGCATATTGTGCATGTGTATGTGCATATTTTGCATGTGTGCATGCATCTCGTGCATGTGTGTGTGTGTCATGCATGTGTGCATGCATGTCATGCATGTAAGCGTGCGTGTCGTGCATGTCATGCATGTATGCACGCATGTCATGTATATATGTGTGCACGTCGTGCATGTGTGTATGTGTGTGTGGATATGTAGCTCAATGTCCCAGCTCCAGATATGCTCACTAGGTACCACAGCCCTGGTTTCCTGAGATGCAAATTGAGATCACCAGGTGACCTGGTAGGGTTAGGATGAGGAATAAATGTGCTCAAGGACATAGAAAGTTTCTCCGGCTCCTCATCTGGCACATGGTAAGTGCTTAAAAATAGTAATGAAGGCAGGTCTGGAGAGACGTATCTATAATCCCAGCTGTTCAGGAGGCCGAGGCAGCAAGCTTACAAGTTGAGTCTAGCTTGGGCCACTTAGCAAGACTGTCTCAAAATAAAAAAGAGATGAGAACATGGCTCAGTGGTGAACAAAGAAGCAGGCCTGCATGAGGTCCTGGGTTCAATCCCCTGTACTTTGCTATAAGAAATGTAATGTGAGCTGCTAATCTTCACTAGAGGAACATTTCCAGAAGCTCCAGATGCTACTTCCTCTTCCTTGGTCAGGGCTTAGTTTGCTTTGCATGACAGCAATGAAAAGAAACCTCTCATTTCTGAATCGGAGCTATCTAAGACCATGAAACACCATGCAGGCCATAGATTTTGCAACCCTGTAGAAGGTTCAAAGCGTCACCTGTGTACCTGTCCTTGGGCCATCAAACTATGCGGTAGGATTTCTGTTTTGGGAAAGCATGATCAGCAGGACTATGGGTGAGCACGCACAGGGCTGCCTAGGGCCCTGGGGAAGGCCATGGTGTCTTGGCCATGGCAGCTGAGGCTCAAATATGGTGGAGGCTGAGGTGGGTGCTCAGGTGGGCTCACCAGACACCTCACCCATGCGTTCATTCTAGAAGTTGTGCATCTCATGATTGAAACAGACTTGGCAGAGCCAAAAGAGACTGCCATTGGTCGAGGGATTGTCTTCAGCTGTGTGTTTTTAAGAGGTGATGACCGGGAGCTCTGGTTTCATCATTTCCTCCTCCAGATGCTCCTTTCCACCTCTTCTCCATCACTCGCCTGGGCCACCATCTCCCCATCCTTGACAGGAGTCCTCTAGTCATCTCCTTTTATCCACCCACCGCAGGCCTAGAGATCCTAAGATGTGAATGGGGTCTGACCATTTCCATGCTCAGCAGCGTACAGGCTTGCTCATCATAAAACCCAAAGACCTGCCCCTATCCTCTTCCCTGTCGGCTGGTTTCACTGATTCTCTCCCAGCACACTCCCAGATGTCCACAGATTCCCATGATGGTGAAATCTGGGCAGTTGAGTCATGCAGTAATGTAGCCACTAACCACCTGCAGCTTCTGTGCACTTAAAATGTGGTCAGTCCTACCAAAGAGCTTAATTTTAATAGTATTTAATTTTAACTAGCTTAAATGGTCACATGTGGCTTGTGGTAGCTGTATTGGACCTTAATGCTGGACCTTCTGGCCTTCTTGGGTTCTTTTTTAAGGACCAAGATCAAAGCCTCTTCCTTTTTTGTCCATGTGGGCCCTTAGATGCCATGGCATGGATATTTTGGTGCCAAATCTCCAAAAACAAAACCCTACAACTTTTGTTAATCAGGACTTGAATAACTGGAATCCTAAGTTGATTGCTTTGGATTTTAGGGAGAAAAGAAATAAATCATCAGGAATGGTCTCTCTGTGTCTGTCTCACTGGCTGGCACCTCTCCGGGACTTTGGAAATCATCCTGCATCCTTCCCTTTCTTTACAGACAGATTAGCTGAAAGTGAAGTCCATGGTGCGAGCCATTGGGTGAGGGTCTTTGCACGGGACTTACTAGTTAATAATGTTAATAATCCTTACCTTTAAAAACTGGAAGCCCCAAATTCCCTTTCCTAAATCACCAACTACAAAGAGAAATAGGAAGAGCCAATCCTATAAAATGGAGGATCAACAAGGTCACTTGAGATTCTCCGTTGTCTTATAATTAGAAACTTGACCTACTGAGTAATTGTTAGTATTATGGCTAACAGGTATCAGTTCTCGGAGCCCCCACATCTTGTCACCCAGATACTTTGTGGCATTATTTCTTGAACTTGTGATAGCCCAGCAGGGTCTCACCATTCAATAGATGGAGAAGTGGAGTCTTGGGAGCATTTGTACTTTATGACCCAAGACGTGGTCCACTGAACCACACCTACACTCTCTCCACCACACTTCTCCCTACTCTCTTCCTCATGTCTTGGTTTGTTTCAGTTCATTTCCCTTCCAGTGTGGTGGTTAACGCATGCCTAAACCTGTGTGCCTTGGTTTAGGCTCGGCAGCTTGAGTTGATTACTTACAGTCTTTGATGGAGGCCTTCGTCTCTTCAGAATCATTGAAAAACCAGTAACCTGGGAAAGAGAGAGAAATACACTAACCATATCATGCTTGCTGAATGCCACCGGCTGGGCCAGGAAAGGAGGCATGGGGTAAGGCAGGGCAACTGTTCCCTGTGAGTGCTGGTTTTGTTTCAGAAGGAAGCTTGGAGATGATCTGGTCTTTATAGAACCACCTTGAAGCCCCCCTGGGAGGTAACAGTCTCCTTGTTCTTAAAGATCACTTGGAAAGAACAGCTGGAGCCAGGTACCCAGCAGCCTCTGTGGGCACTGGAGAGTGAACCCTGGCTGGGGGTTCAAACGGCTGGGCTCTGAGCTGAGCTGGACTATTGATCGCTGTGTGACCTTTGCCACTTGATCTCTGGGCTCACTGGTTGTCCTTATCAGCAACATGAGGCAAAACACTCACTTGGCTCCCTTTCAGGTTAGAGCCTGTGACCTGCGACATGGGACTATAGTCCTTGGAGATCAGAATCCCTGTTATGTGTTGGTCAAAGAGGAGAATGGGCACAAGACGCTGCAAGCAGTGCAAAACCCTATGTGAATGGCAGACTTACTGAGAGTTATGGCCTTAGTTTCTTACTCTGTAGGGTAGGGTGAGCTAGGCTTGAATTAGGAGTTTCAGATCATGTTTTCAAGTAGCATGACAGGCTAAAAGCCACCTGCTTCCTAACTTGGTGACCAACATGAGAACTAATTTAAATTTATCAAGGAGATGGGGTAGGGCACATTTGTGATGGCTTATTCCTGGTGCCATGGTCTCATTGGCTTTGGTGGGCGATGATAGCTCAGTTGACTCTGCCCAAAAAGCTGAGCAGAACAGGGTGTGGGACAAACAGGGGACTTATTCCTCTCTTGGGCTGTGGAGGCCACCCTCTGCCCCACTCCTTTCCCCTAACCTCACCTCCCAATGATCTGGGCCCTTAGGTCCCATGGCAGTGCCTCCACAGCCAGATGGTCCTCCTGGCCCCAGCATCCCTTCCTCTTTGTCCTGTTCTGCTAGAGCCTTAACGTATGGGGCAACATAAGGCATAAACTAAATGATTGTTTATATTATAATTTATTGTCCAAATGGAGACACTTTTGATAATGAAACATGACACTATTAATAATTATTCCAGATGAAAATGTGTTCTGGACAAATTGGACAGTGTAAACTTTGGTTACAGCACACACACACACACACGCGCGCACACACACACACACACACACACACACACACAGATCTGCTTGGGGAACATGAAGAGAGGAATTTCAGAATGGAATGACTTGGGAACAAATACTTGTTCAGCTCAGCGTGAAGTGTCCCTTGCCTAGAAAATGTCCCAAGTGCCAGCACCAGAGGTGCTACCTGTGACTTGAGGGAATCCTGAGGACAAGAAAAGTCAGCTCTGGCTTATTAGAAAAGTCATTTGTAGCTTATTCATTTTTCAGAGTCTCTGAGTTAGTCTCTGAGACTGGGGACCGCTATTCTCTGATATGACAGTTGCCAGGAAAAGGAGGTGCTCATGCTGGGCTGCCCCGCACAAGGGCTGTTTGGTGCATGGAATTGACGTTTGGCCAAGCTGGCAATGCCAAGCTGCACATCTCCCGGGATGGGATGTGTCCCTCTCCGTGGCCCTGGGATTCTTGCTAGCGTCTTCCCTTATGGAGCCCTGGGCTTCTCTGTCCACAAGTGCTGTGACATATTCAGTCTGGTCCCCTTCTAGGGGACAAGGAAGGGATACTCTAAGCAAAAGCCACTGCCGCTAGCTCCAGCCCAGTCCAAGCAGTGTCCACATAGCCGCCATCGGTAGCCTTCTTACTACCATATCATGAGGCGCTCATGAAAAGAAGCAATACAAGAAAATTAAAAAAATAATAGAGGTGGATGATCCTCTGAGGGTTTTCTGTTCCAGCAGGGATCCCTGCTGTAGCTACCCTTCAAGCAGGGGCTGTTGGTTGCTCGCTTATCTCCACTGGGAGTGAGCTCCCTAACTTTGTGTCTTCTAAAGCAGCCTTTCCAAAAGCAGGTGCCAACATTTAGAGTGATCTTTTTTTTTTTTTTTTTGTCTTTTTCATTTTTATCAGTACCGGGGATCGAACTCACGACCGCCTGCTTATGCCACTGAGCTAAATCCCCAGCCCCTAGAGTGATCTTTCTTAAAAGCAAGCTGAGATGTACACTGCATTTCCTTTTGTTTTAAAAATTTCTGCCTCTTGTTTATATTAGTGATGATGGAAATGGCTACCATTTACTGCATTTACACCTTCAACTGCTGTCCCCACCCATATTTCACGAAACCCCACGGAGGTGTGTACTGCACCACCCTCCCAGGGGGCAGATGAAGCCAGTCTTGGGGCCTGAGAAAGGTGAGGCCTCTTTCCACGTCCCAGGGACTGAAAGGGGGTCCCCCCAGTCACTAAGCCCTTGCTTTGTACCCTGAACATGTGTGCTGTGTAACCTTAGGGAGGTCACTGAAGCACTTGGAACATCAGTTCCTTTCTCTGTGACATCGGGACACACGGACAACATTCTCAAACCACCTTTCTGCTCTGAGGGATGCTCAGGAGCTGAATCAAGCCCCTGGCGCCCCCTCTCGGCCACCTGATCTTTCACCATTGGAACGGGAGAGGAAATGCTAATGACCTGGTCTGCTCTGAACAAGGGAATGGAAATGATCTATATATTTTTTTGTCCTGCTTAATGACAGGATGAAGCATAAAGCTGTTTCTCTCTCTCTCTTCTCTTTCCCCTACTTTTCTCTCTTTTTCTCTCTCTCCTTCTCTCCCTCCTCTCTCTCCTTCTGTCCACCAAAAAGTATTTGTGAACATCTTGCATCATTCTGTTGTGATCAGTCTGGTACTTTCGCTATAGTTGTTTTGCTTGTTTCTTTTTTTTTTTTTTTTATTTGTGCTTCCTTTGCTTTCACATAGTTTACTCCGGTTGCCTAAAATCTCTGCAGTGGTGCGCTGGAGCTTCTCTTTGCTGAGAGGTGTCTGCTACCAGAGAGCGCCAGTGTCCCAGGGACTGGAAGGACCTCTCAGGCCACCTGGGCCCGCGCTCCTCCCCCAGCCCGGCCCGTGCCACTGACCTTGCGTGCGGATGTTTTGGAGGATGAAGTACAGGTACTCTCCGCAGACGCCCGCCGCCTCGATGAACTCCTCCTGGGTCATGCTGCACAGCTGCAGGCCGCTGATGTTGAAGTGGCAGAAGGAGATGCAGTTGGCGTCCAGCTTGTACTGATCGCAGCAGAACTGCAGCCACTCCCAGACGTGGCGCTTCGTCCAGTACTCGGGGTGGACCGATGTCCAGTAGGAGTCACAGGCTGCACCGAGGAGAAAGAAGTGAGCATCCATGGTTCCCCAGGGCACCCCTCAAAGGGACTCTGATCACGTTCCAGCCCCCATGCTCTGTAAGGTGTCCGGGCCACCTTCTGTTTAGCAGAGACTTCGGGGTGAGAAGAGGAAAGAGAGGTGGGAAGAAATAAGCACCACATTCTGGTGCTGAGAAAGAGGGGGCCAGTGCAGAAGAAAAGCAAAATGATCTTCAGTTACTTGGTTTCAGACAACATGGTATCAAGAGCACAAATTTAGGAGCCTAAAGGCGTGGGGATAAATTTTGATCTGACTGCTCTCTGCTTGGGCAAGGTCTGTAGATACATAAACCTCTGTTTCCTCATCTGTAAAATGGGGATAATGTGATCGGCTCACAGAGCTCTTAGGGAATTTGAGATTAATATATGTAGCTTGGTGGAAAGAAATGAGCAAGCAATTTGATAGTCAATGCTCACTGTGCACTGGACAGAATCTGAAGCAGGTTTAATTCTCTGTGCCATAATGGAGAGCTGCCCAGACCGGCTTCCTGTCTGTGCACATCCTCTGGCGATCTTGTGCCAGGGCCTTATGCCACAGATACTAGAGTCTGATGGACCTTGGACTGCTATAGAGGGTGACTCTGGAGAAAGGAGTCATGGGAGAGTTGGTTGTGTTGGGTTCTTGAAGTTTAGAGGATTTTCTGTCTTGATAGGAGAGCTCCTCCTGTGTACACCCTGAGACAGTCATGACTGCCATCCTATCTGATGGCATGGGAAGTAGCCATGCCTAGTCCAGGACAAGGATTTGGAACTCAACATCCCTGTCTCGATGTCCCAACAAGAAGCTAAAATAGGGCAGGCAGGTTATAGTAGGGATGAGGAACCATGTACTTAGGTCAGACTTTTTGGTGTAAATAATCTTTTTTTTTTGGAGTCTAAATAATCTTGTGATTGCCATGCTAATCATTCATCTGTCCATTCATCACTCATCCTTACTCAATAAATGATAATGTCAGTTTCCTCATCTGTGAAACAGGATAATTATAGCACTTATATCACAGGATTATTCTGCAGATTAAATGAGTTAATAAAGTGCTTAGAACAGAGCCTAGAAGATTTTAATGCTATGAACATTATCCTTGTACACTTCTTATATGTGACACAGAAAACTGTACGTCAAAGATCGATGCTGGATAAGACACATTTGCTGCTGTCCCTGGGGAGGATCTTGAGGGTCATAGGAGACTTTCCTAAGACTCCATGGCCAGCGTGAGGCAGAGCTGAGATGTGAAACCCAATCTGGACTCAAACATCGTGTTCTCCCCAGAGGGTCAATGTGGGAAGAGATGAAACATGGGTGAGAGGCAGACAGGGATCGAGAGAGGGACTCGGTGGTCTGAGAAAAGGGGCGGAGAGCAGAGAGTGGAGCGTGGCTCAGGTGACCAGCTCTGGTTGTGCAGATGGCAGGAAGGGTCACTTTCCAGTTAGCTGCCACAACAGAGGGCCATGGTGCCCTTGCCATTCCTCCTGTAAATGCTACAGTTGCCGTCACCATCCCCAGCAGAGCTGTGGCACTCCTGAACCCAGCCAGGAAGTGGGCTGTCTGTCCTGCCAGGGGCCATCACTTGCTACCTGCCTGCTGCACACCACCGACGTGCCTTGTGTCTTTGCTGATGGCCTCTCCAGTTTCTCAAATCCTCTCAATAGTTCTGCCAAATTAAGGCTATGTCAGAAAGTGGAAACTGAGGCCAGAGCCCTTCTGGACATCTCTTTTTCCCTTTGCAGAATGGGTTGAAAGGCAGTCAAATCTACACAATAGGTTTGTTTTACAGCAGACAGGGCTCCTATGGAAATGGAGGCCTTTTCTGAGTCTGCTCCATGTTTTCATCTACTGATCTTTGGCTTGAGTAAACCTAAGGGGCCTTTGGACTTTCCTGGCATTCTGACGAGAGATGTTTATGAGCCTTGAAATTCTTCAGCTGCTGGTCCTGCACTGGGCTCTGACGGAGATGACTATCAGTGTTCTTCCAGGGTAGGGCATGGCACGTTTCTCTTCAGGGAAAGCTTTGGCCCTCTGCTCCCTTGTCCTCTCCATCCCTACCCACTTGTTATTTTCTTTGGCACTGGAAGGGGGCCATATTGTTTCTGGAAGCAAAAAGGGCCTTCAGGATTCAGAGAAACGCGAGTGGGGGTAGTGCTGACACCTGGAAGGTGTCTCTGGCCTGGCTCCCCGCTTCTCTGTGAGGCTAACCACAGAGCAGGCTTTGTGTACACCTTGGTTGGGCCTGAGAAGAACTGGGGCCTGAGCCAAGAGGCCATTGGCTCTATTCATTCCCAAAGCCCTTCCCAAAGCCCCCAGAACTGAGGGAAAATGGCTCTTCACAGTGACTTACAGGGACGGCTATAGGAGCCAACATCCATGGGTTGCTTCTGGTGAGATGTGTTTTGGCGGCCCATCCTGGGGAAGAGGATTCTCAGGCTGACAGAGGCAGGGAGGCTCTCCACCCACCCTCCCCTCCTCAGCTCTCCCTGCTTCCCTCTCTTAGGTTTCCCCACAGCTCAGTCTTTCCACAGTGCTTCTTTTTTCCCTCTATTGTCTCCTGAGTAATTCACCCTCCCCAACTTCTCGGCTCACTTGCCCTCTCAGAGAGTTTTCCCCTCAGGCACCTTCTCAGAAGGTCTGGAAGGAATCACAGTGCCTGTTCCTCAGAGCTTGGGCTCTGCTCACCCTGAGCAAGGAGAGCTGAGGGCCTGGTCTGGCCCACCATCGTGCTCAGTATGTGTAACTGAGTCAAGAGTTGTTATTATGTCCAGTAAAGGAGTTAGGCCCACGCCAACTTCTGCCCTTGGACCTGGGCATTTTGCATCATTACAGAACCTCACCCTTCTAGGTTGAGGGAGACCAGTATTTAGATGCAACACCATCTTTTGGAAGTAAGATGCTTAGATGCTGGGTATAGTCCTGCGAGGGTGTCAAACAGATATAGAGGAAAGAACCTAAGAATTTCTAAGTGAAAACTAGACAAACACAAAGTCATGTGACACTCAGAGCTGAGCCCTGGGGTGGCAGCCGCAGTCTAGGGGATCTCAGTATGGGCCACTTCCGGTTGCTTGAAGACTGACTAAAATGAAATTTGGATGAAGATATATAAAATCAGAAAGAGGATGGGCAGATGTTGCCTTCTTTGCTTCTAATTCCAGAAAATAACATGAAGAAGACCATTCTGCTATTTGGAAGAAATGAACCCAGGAAAATAAAAGGGCTATACACCCAAGAACGTATGGTCTTTAAGAAACTGTGTTGTCTGGAAATGGGTGGCATTTTCCTCTATGTATCTATCATTCATAAAATACTCTTCTAGGGGAAGCTTCTACCTATGTCCCCACTCAAGGCTGTGATTTCCCATGCCAGGAAGGCCTAATCCAAATGTCCACAAGCCACTATTAAGCCTCGGGCTCCTCCTGTTCCTTTGAAGTCTGAAGTGGGTCAGGGACTCTTGTCTTGAGGGCCAGCTGCCTTGGAAGAAGAGCTAAGGAGCTAGAAGGTGTTTTCAGTAATTGGGAGGAATTCTCGAAAGTGATGCTGCCACCGGGGGCATGCAGACATTCCTCAGGTCTCAGCTTTCAGAGCTGGGCTGGTGTGCAGTATCCATGCTCCAAGCGGTCCTGGGTGGGGACATTTAGAACTGGAAAGTTCATGCCAAAGTGGACAGTTGCTACCCAGCTCCAATGTGGAGATATATGTGTTCCTGGGGAAGTGTGGGTTTCTTCAGTCTGACTGAGAAAAAACCAGGCCAGAGAAAGCTCAGGGTTTAGTCAGGGAAGACTGACCATCTGCCTCCGAGAAGGCCCGAGTTAGGCAACTTCGGACCATAATTAGCATGATTTATTAGCATAGGGAGTTGGGAAAGCTTTTGCCTGGGGCGGCACTGAAGAGAGGCCAGGAGTAGATTGGACACCATCAATTGCAGCTTTGTCTTTGAAAGGGAAGAATCCAGAGGGCCAACCTGCAGTGATAAATTGCTTCCAGGTTTCTTCCCAGAGCCACACCGGCCTCATTCAATAGACTTACTGACCTTTCTCTCCTAACCTCTGGAGTGCTCACACCATGGGATGGCACAAAGAGAGAAATTAGAGGAGCACAGAGCTGTGGGGCTGGCTGGGGGTCTGTGAGAGATCACAGAGCTGGGAGTGTGGGGCTCAGACGGGCAGAGAGGGCCAGGCCTTGAGTGGCCTTGTGTCCACAGCTACCTAGGAAGTGCAGATGTGTGCAACCGGAAGTGGCTCATACCGAGATCCCTTAGACCACAGCTGCCACCCCAGGGCTCAGCTCAGAGTGTCACATGACTTTGTGTTTGTCTAGTTTTCACTTAGAAATTCTTAGATTCTTTCCTCTGTATCTGTTTGACACACTCACAGGACTACACCCAGCATCTAAGCATCTTGCTTCCAAAAGATCGTGTTGCATCTAAATATTTCTCTCCCTGATTTTCTGGATATTAATTCCTAAGATAATTGGTTTTTTACTTCTTGAATAGCTCTTTCTTCAATATCCCTTTCCCCTCTCTCTCCTTTTCTCTCTGTTAGACTGGAGGTTGAACCCAGGCTCTCATGTATGCTAGGCAAGTGCTCCACGCTAACCTATATCCCCAGGAATTTTTGCTTTACTTTTAGACAGGGTCTTGCTAAATTGTCTAGTCTAGCCTTGAACTTGCGATCGCTCTTCCCCAGCCTCAGCAGTAGGTGGGATTACAGGTACACATCACTGCATCCAGCCAAATAAAATCTCCCCTTGGGTAATAATAGCTAATGTATATATTGAATATTTGTATCTTTCAGTTGCCACACTAAACTCTCTGGCTCTCATGTCATCCTCAATACATACTATGTCACCCTTCTTAAAAAAGAAAGTATGGTCTGAGAAGTTGACCCTCTTCAAGGTCACATGGTGGGACAGGGGCACAGCTAAAAGGAAGTCATAGGCAAGGACTGGTCAAGGAAATACAGTATGTGTTTAAATAAAAAGAATTGCCACAGTAAAAGACACATTGCTATTAGTTCCCTTCCAAATATTCTTCCTCCCTTCAAATACCCTAATTGTTCTTTCCATTTTCTGAAGCAATTCTGGAAATCCTCTTTCATGAGTATCTTTATGATGTGTGGTAAAAAAATATAGTGAATATCGCTACTGAGTCCCATTGAACAGAAAGGCAAGCTTGTAAAAATGACGGTGTTTCCTCATTCACCTTACTAACTGGATCTGGACCGAGTGACTTCTGGCTCTTCCCCAAAGTCAGAATGACCAGGAAAAGGTGAACATTTCTAATTCATTCAGGTCATGGAGGCAGCTACAACAACATAACCAAAGATGCTCATGGAAGAGGAAGCCCAGAACTGCTTCAGAAAGTAGCCTCAGAATGGAATAAGAGTGTTTGAAATAAGGGGAAGACCTTTAACAGGATGAATGACAATCCTTTTACTGTAGTAAATTAAACATTCACTGTGGTTTTGACCATACCATGTAGCTGTATTCTAGTTCTTGAGGCAAAACCTTAATACTGATTAAGCTGTATTGTCTTCTGAACTAAAGTAGAGCAAATGACTTCAAGGTAAGGGTAAGATGGAGCACCCGATGTGGGTTTCTCAGCTCCCACCAATGGGGACCCTCCAGAGCTGCCCTAATCTAGGAGCCTCTGCTGCAGACAAGCTATAAGCAAGATTCCAACACCCATGTTGGTGTGGCCGCTGGCCATCAAGAGAGGTACTTGGGGAGGTGGAGGCTCAGGCTGGATCTCCAGGAAGCAAGGGTGTGGCCAAATACGCGATGACTCCTCAGAGCCTTGGCAACTAGAACTTGATTGGAGAAAAGCTTTTTAAAAAATGTTCTACACAAGTGAACTACATGAAGTCCTACCACTCTATTTTGAAAAGACCGAGTCAAGGTCAGGGCGAATGAATGAAATCCTAAGACATTTTCCCATCTGTGACTGTCTTCCAGCCTGCAGCAGAGCCACGCAGAAGTCCTGCTTCAAAGAGCAGGTCAGCACCCTTGTGGTTGAGAGTGTACAGCTTCAGTGACACTGCTGCAGACATTTTGAAAATTTGGGAAAAGAGCCAGTTTTCCTCAACACCCTGGACCATTCCTGCCTGCCCTCTCTTAAAGGTCCTTTTTCTAGGGGGTTTCTTATGTTTTCTTTGCCTTTGGTCTCAAAGTATCTACACTGTCAAAAATTGAGAAAGATGTGTTAAGAGGCCCGTGTTACTTGTTCCATATGAAAAATACAAGAGAAGAGAGAAAGCTGTCTTTCCGTCTGCCTGGGAATTGTGGAGTGTTCCTGGGTACATGTGCACTTATAGTATATACAAACACCTTATATACAACATTTCATCCTGGCCTATCCTTTTATTCTAGCAGGTGGATATTGTTTCCACAAAGGAAAATATAGTTCAAACAAACATCTTGTAGATCAATGGCTGGTAGTGGCAGGGTCAGCACTCAGAACTAGACTGGATCAGGCAGGTGCCATGAGGACAATCCCTGAGGCAAGCTCTGAATTCAAGTTGGCAATTCCTGCAAGGTGGATAAAGATGTCTCAGGAATATTTGGCCATCAACAAAGGAAAGTTTGCAGAGAGATGCCCAGGGCAAACATGATTGTCCCTGACATAACCCTGGCAGAGAGGGCTTTTGTGAACTCAACTCAAGGATTCATTTCTGTGGGTGGTGATGGCTTTGTCAGAAAAAGCTGAGAAGGAACTGTCAGTGGGACTCATGGAGTTCACCTCATGCCCAGGCAGCTGTGAGAAAGGCGCTCAGTCAAGACTAAGCTTTCATGCCCAAATTTGACCCGTAGGAGGTCAGAGATAATCCACCTTCTCTGAAATCTAGAGGGCCAGGTGGTAAGTCAAAATCCAAGCTCATCTCTCAGGGAATGTCAGGAACCCATGTTTCTCAGGAAGGATATTTTCATTGGCCTCACACTCCAGTGGAAATTTCTAGGCTCTCAGTAGTGGTGGGAGAAGAAAGCGGTGCTTGTGATATTGCATGGTGCAGTATCCAGAGAAGCTTCTGGAAGGAATCCTCGTATTGACCTGGTCCCACTTCTCATTGTACTGATGAAAATGCAGAGGCTTCAGCTGGGAGAAAGCTATGTCTGAGCATTCAAGACCTGCTCAGATTTGAGTCATACTAATGACAATGCATTGGTGACTGTTGATGTTAATTTTTCATTTTTAAAAATAGTAATAAAATATACTGTAACTTTATAGTTCAGTGACATTAAATACATTCACCTTGACAAACAGCCACTGCCACCAGCCAACTGTATAACTTTTCATCACACTCCACTGGCACTAACCCTCCAGTTTTGTAAACACCTGTGTGTGCTGGCCGTGGGCCAGGCCAGACCATGCCCCAAACACTTCCCATTTATTAGCTCATTTCTGTCTCAACACAATGCTACCAAAGAGGCATTATTATTTTCCCCACTATCCAGATGAGACTACGAGGCTATGAGAGATTAAGACAGTGTAGACAATAAATGTCTAAACCAGGCCTCACATGTAGGACACCCAATTCCAAATCATGAGTCCAACAATAGCAGCTCCCAATGTCTGGGCATCAAGGGGCAGACGATTGAGGCCAGTTTCTCTCCCCCTGCCATCCCAGCTGCCACTCAGGAGACTAGGTGGGAAGAGGACCTTACAGTGGCCTGTCTGGGCTAAGTGAAGGTTGGCCTTATGCATGCGTAGAGAGAGGGATGGGAACTGGGCCTCACCATGGTGAGACACACGGAAGACCAAGGACCCAGGAGCTTCCATTCTACTCTTTCAGATTTAATCTCTCAGCCAAATTCCAGGAGTTTCTTAGGCCCCATGGAACATCGTACTGCATATCCAAATCTGAATGTAGTGAGCCATCTTGAGCGAGTGTGAGAGCTTTTGGGCGTGCATGTGTGGATGGGTGTATGTGTGTGCATGGAATGGGGTGAATGTAGGACTGAATGATGTAGGTAAGTCCTCAATTCTGTGTGTGCAATCCTGGTTTTTGGGCCCGGAGGCAGAGGCTCCTCTGGAGGTGGATGTTGCACAGTGACCCAGAAGCTCAGCTTTTCCCCAAAGCTGCCTGCTCACTGGGTTGGACTGTGCCCAACTGGGGTGTTCAGAGTTAAGGCTCAGTGGGGAACAGATAACCTGATGGATGCTTGCATCACTGCTTTGTAGTGTGCATTTGCCACACCAGCAGCCACCCAGCTCTGCTGGATGTGCAGTCATCCAAACTCTCCGGGGACAGAGGCCCTTAGTGGGTTTCTGGAACAAAATTCAGCCCGCCTGCCTCTGGCATGAGATTTGCATAAGGCCCCAAGCTTCCTTCTCAGGTGCATAAAACCTGCCTACTGAGACCCAGAGGGAGGGAGGGAGAGCAGGGAGGGACAGTGAGGGGACTCCTATTTAATGACTCTTGCTTTGGGCCAGGCTGCATAGTTTACATAGCACTGGGAAGAGGTTAGGATGAGGATTCCAGAGCCTTCCTTCCAGCAAGAGGCTGTTCTTCCTCCACCAGACTCTGAACACTGGTATTTCCAGGCCCCAACATAGCCAGCACCTCCTGCCCCAGCCCTCACCGCTGCCCTAGGAGGGGCTGCTCCAGACGTACACACCTGTTTGATTCTCAAAGGCGGGGTAATACTCTTCACTGCTGAACAGATCCGTCCACGACATCAGGGGGTCACAGAGGGATGGGTTGGGCAGGAAGGTGCTGTGTGTCACTGAGTCCAGCATCACCCTGCAATAGCAGAAAGGCTGTGAAGGAGGTGTGCTGTGGCTTTCTGGAAGCCACACTGTGTGGGGGCCCCCCAGCAACCCTTGGTTTTCAGTAATGGTGGCTTCAGGCGCCCCTGAGAAGGCATTATCGAACCCTCAGCACATCTTGTCTCCCCATTTCACAGATGAGAAAACCGACACAGAGGGGCTGAGTAGTTGCTCAAGCAACAGAACTAGAAAGCTGGGACGCTGGAGTTTGAGCATGGAGGGTCTCCGTCTGCAGCCCTGCCCCTTTATTCACTTTTCCTATTTGCTCCCATCTGATTCTGTGATATCTGACATATGACAGCTAGCAACATCTTTTGAAAATGCCAAGAAAACTGAACATTTGTGTGTTTGATGCACACAAATATTTCCCAGAAGACAGTCTTAAATTGATGCTATATCATTTTGTACAGTTTTATGTGTGTATATGTGTATATAATACACATATAACAACAACACATGTATAACGACACATATGTAACACATATGCTATGTAGATTTTAAAATACAGTTATAGTCTTATTAATTCTACTTAGTGAGTATTCGTATGATACACTGCAGAGATACTGATGTCTTCAGGCTAATCCTAGACCCTGAGGGGTTTTTGGTATTTTGCATTCCTAACTGCTGGGAATTCAGAATTTTGCAGAACAGCGGTGCTGAAGGCTTTGAGAAGGGAGCGTGCCAGCCAGAACGCTGCTCTTCAGGCTCTGTACGAAGCACTGCACTACTCAACTTCATTATTCATGGGATTCTCAGAACAACCCTCGGAGACAGTTACTGGAAGTGGTTCCGTCGTATAGACTAGGGACAGAGGGTCCAGGTAACAGCCAGCAGGTGATGGGGTCTGGGTGGCAGCTCAGGTTTGTCTGTTTACAAGCTTGGGATCTGAGTGCTGGATTCCGCTACCCACCCACACCGTGGCATGGTGGGGTGAGGACTCTGGGAGAGGGCTGGGGGGTGGGGAAGGGAACAGGCTCACGTTTCTACCTGAGTGTATCCCTGCTCCTGCTGACCTCACCTGCTTCCTCTTTTCCTGTTTACTGCCTATTTGCTGCATCCCGTATTCCCATGAAAAAAAAAATTCGTTTTTGGCAGATTGAGACACCGGTTTACCTAAGTTCTCTTTTTTCTATAAATAATACAGATAGGCAGTATATCCTCTTTGGATAATGAGGACACTGCGGTTTAGGGTCACATTGCTGGTAAATATCAGGACAAAGACTAGATTCACATCCTGGGATACTGAGAGGTGGAATTTTAAGATGGTTAGGACTTATCCATTGCCCATCCAATGTTTGTCAAATTTTGCTCATTTGCCTTTATTTACTTAGAACATTTTCAAAATCAACTTCCTTTTTGTTTTAACATTAATATATTTATTTAAAAAGAAAGTCTTTATATCATCAGTATAAAGGGGAACGTAGTACCTCTTTTAAGGTCCATGAAAAAAATACATTAGCATTTAAGTGGAGAATGTTCATTCATGTACCACATAAAACAGGGATTATCAAACTATATCCTCAGGCCAAATCCAGTCTTCTACCTACTTTTGTATGTCTTGCAAGCAAAAATGATCTTACATTTAAAAGGAAGTACCTACACAAATCCTTGATTTTGTTTTTTAGCACAACCTAAAATATTTCCTCTCTGGTCCTTTGGGGAAGAGTTTGCTAACCACTGAACAGAATCAACTCGTACCTCACCAGAAGTGTGAGTCCCATGATGGAAATCTGATTGGTCTCATCTTTCTCAACCTGCTGTTTTCAGGAGACCCTGGGGATTTGTGTAACTTGCTCAATAGACAGCAGAGTTGAATTGGGGGGAGGTCCTACGTCTCTGACTCTTGATCTACCTGACTTCCTTTTGAAAGACACAGTTGCACCTCAGGGACACTATATGACATACAAATACTAAGTGGAGCAGGGATTGCGTGATACTGGAACAAAAGACCAAGTTCTCATCGACAAATCTGCTGTCATTACCACCATGCCATGTGCATTCTGGAGAATTGCATTCTGGACTCTCACCCTTGAACACTCTTTCTGGACCAGTACCCATGATTCCCTGGACCTGCCCTCTTTTTGATGCCAGCACAAGGTTAATGGGCCTAGCAGATTATCAGGGCCCCAGATCTCCCCGGGAGCCTATCCAGCAGAAGTCAAGGCTGCTTGGGTTTGGGCTCTGATTTTCCCAAGGCTCGGCTGCTTTTATATCCAGAGTGGGGTGGGCTGTGAGGGATGACAGAGGGCAGGATGAAGAGGGGTGGGGTGGGAGGCTGGGAGGGAGGCAAATGGCCCTGAAGTCCAAGACCTTTTATAGTTTCTGGACTGGACTTCAGAAAGGTTTATCTAAGTCAGGACTAAGGGTAAAAATATCCTTCCTCTTTCTGGGCTCTCTGACATGACTCTTACTGAGCCAGAGAAAGAAAAGGTGAACCCCAAATGGAAAAAAAAAGCAGAATACAGTTTCTGGGTCCTCAATGTCGATAGGAGGATTCTCAAATACAAAACAAGACTTAGTCACTGATGCTTGACAAATGACTCTCAAAAATCATTTGGCAGTTTTAAAAAGTCATTTAAAAATTGACTTTAATCATATAAAATTAGGAATATTTTTGATCAATAGAGTATTTACATCCTTCAATGATTTTTATATATACCAGCCCACTCATTTGATCTGTAATCCGTCTAGAGCTCCATACAAAGTTGTATCAAATTCCCTTTGGTAATTCCTTCTATGGCAAATTATATCCATTAGACTTTTTCTAAAGTGCTATTATGTTGGGTGTATTATATGTTATTTTGCTTCCATAATTATTTCATGCTTTTTGGAAGAAATGTCTTTATTGAAAGCAGAGGAAGTTTCTCTCTCTCTCTCTCTCTCTCTCCCTCCCTTTTTCTCTTTCTCCTTTTCTTCCTCTTCCCCTTGTTCTGCCTCTTTTTGTTTTGCGATTGGGAGAGGACAGGGTAATATAAACTCTGAGTGTGCCACAAATCACCCTGGCCACTTAGCCAGCAAGCACTAGGTGTGCTGTCAGGAATAATAGCTGTTTTGTGTGAGGCAGCCCCTCTTCTTTAGGACCCCTGAGGCTCTTGCAGTAATTGAACATTGGGGCTCTGAAATTTCTTGCAGGCAGGTGAGCAGGTCGGGCAGGAAGGAGCATGGCGTGAGGTCTTATTTCTCAGTGAGGCCTGGTAAGCGGTGAAGCTAGCCTCAGGATAGACCAGCCATTCCCTCTGGAAGGGGGGGGGATAAGGAAAAGAGCCAAGGCACGGGTGTGGGTGGGGGAGGGAGAGGATTATAAAAGGATTCTGAAGCCTGGGCTACATGGACTAGCATCTGCACAGGATGAGAGCCTCCTTTGGTCTGCTAGCCTAGCCACACTCTTCACTTTTTGAGGGACTGACTAGCTAGTTTCGGAAGATGCACTCAGTGTGGAGTGATGATTCTGCCTATGCACCTCTCCGAACCTCAGTTCCTCGCTTACTAGATAAGGACACTGGCGAGATGGATGACGCAGCTGGCCCTGGCGCCTGATTGGCCAACACAGAGACATCTGTGCACACATGCGTTGATCACATTTGGATACTGTGATCTAGCAGGCTCACCAAATTGAACTAAAATCCAACCAGTCCAACCACGGATTAAACCCATAGCTCTGAAAACATTTCTGATTTTCTCTTCCGCCTGACTTCCCGTGCCCATTATTGTGTACCTCAGTCTGGCTCAGGAACCTCAGGATTGCTGAAGCTGGGTGTTTTAAACATCTTGAACCCATACACTGCCAAAGAGCAGACCCACAGCAGTTTAACTCAGTTTCCCCAAGATTAATAGCCACCCGTTACATAGGATTAGACACAATGAACACAAGGCAGGGATTCAGGTAAGTTCCCTCCTTGTGTAGGAAGAGCTGGCTGCAAGTACCTTTGGGAGTGAGGCAGCGATGACGCGGACACTGCAGCTCCCGGATGTCTCCAGCCCCGCTTTCCAACCCTTCTCAGAGCCAGCGCACACACAGAGGGTCCACCCAGTCAGATGGCCAGGCCTGTGCGCTTCTCACCCATGTACAAACCAGAGGCAGCAGTAACAGGCGCAGCGCCCATAGCTGGGGCAAGCAGACTCCTCTGCTCAGCCTTCCAGAGAGAGGCAAAGGAGAAAATCACCCAGCCTTGGCCAGTTTGCCAGAGGAGGAAAATTCCTCCCTGACCCTGGCGAAGATCATCGATTTCATTCTGGGCGTGTGACCAAAAATCTACCCAATGAAGCATCTACACATTGCCTGTTTCCATGCAAAACATCACTGGGCAGAAGAATACAGCCATATGGATACAAAGTACAGATACAGGGGGTTAAGAAGGCCTCTCTTCAGTCTCACCATTGGGCAGTATCGCAGGGAAGAGAAATGTTTTCCATCCCCATAGCCTCCATGATACCTACATGGTCCTGAGCTCTGGATAAGACAAGATCAGTTCCCCACCCTTTGGCCTCCCCAACAAGGTCCCATGGCGGAGAACGCAATGCAGCAGCTCAACACTTGCTACCAAAGACAGATTGTGGGTTGAGTGTTGGAGCGTTTGCTCTGGGAGAAACCAACACCAGCTGTGAGAACCGATAAGCTGACATCTTGTCAGGTGATTCCTCATTTCTCTTGAGATTGCTTAGGGCGTTTGGCTGATTGCTGTTTTTAGTTGTTTTTCTGAAGGTGCAGCAAAAGCCCTTGCAGTCTTCTGTGGTCTTCAATTTAAAGTTCACAGTTTTGGATTAAATACTTGGAAGGTTAAATCTTTCCTCAGCCATTCACTAGGCAAAGGACATGAGCAAATTTACTACTTAGTCTATTAAAATTCTAAACTTTTTTCATACGAGTGTGCTATATTCACACTCATGACTTTCCTTAAATAAGCTTTTAACACCTAATCTGCAAAATGTATCATATCTTCTATTTCTGCAATGTGTGTGTGTATATATAAATAC